AGTCTGACCTTTCTTAGCTACTGCTACGCTCCCTTACTGACTCAACCTTCTGGAGACCTTTTCTGAAATCAGGTGATCAGGAACTTGAGCTCAGTCAGAGCTCCTGAGTCCAGGTGCCTGCTCCATCATTGACAATTAGCAAAATTTTACATGTGGATGCCCAATTATTCCAGCATCATTTATGGAAAGATTATCTTTTCTTCACTGCATTGTCTTTGCTCTTTTGTCTTTGCTCTATTGACTAAATTTATGTGAGTTTATTTCTGAGTTTTTTATTCTGTTCCATTGATTTATCTGTTTTTTTGTCAAGAGCAAACTCTTGATTACTGTAGCTTTGTAGTAACCCTTAAAATTGAGTAATGTCAGTGCTCCAACTTTGTTATTTATTTATTTTTTTTATTTTTTATTTTTTTGAGACGGAATCTCACTCTGTTGCCCAGGGCTTGAGGGCGGTGGCACAGTCTCGGCTCACTGTAACATCTGCCTCCCGGGTTCCAGTGATTCTCCTGCCTCAGCCTCCCAAGTAGCTGGGACTACAGGCCCATCACGCACGGCTAATTTTTTTTTATTTTATTTTATTTTTAGTAGACACAGGGTTTCACCATTTTAACTAGGCTAGTCTCGATCTCCTGACCTTGTGATCCGCCCACCTCAGCCTCCCAAACTATGGGGATTACAGGCATGAGCCACCGCACCCGGCCTGACTTTGTTCTTCTCCTTCAATGTTGTATTGGCTCTTCTGAATCTTTCCCTCTCTGTATAAACTTTAGAATCAGTTTGCTGATATCCACATATAACTTACTGGGATTTTCATTGGAATCATATTTAGTATACATCAATTTTGATTTGCAAATATAGATCAATTTGCATTTAACATAGATCACTATCTGTTAACTGACATCGTGACAGTAATGAGGCTTCCTATCGATGAATAAGGAATGTATCTCTAGTTATTCTTTGATTTTTTTCATCGGAGTCTTGTAGTTTAGATCTTAGAGACAGTTTCTCTAATTTTAGACATGTTAACTCACCTTTCTAAAACTTTACTTTCTATTCTAGAAATTAAGGTTATTAACAGTATCTAGCCCCACAGGGTTGCTGACAAAATCAAATGAGACAATGCAGACGTATCCCTAAAAGCCAGATATGGGATCGCGGAGCACTCAGGCGATGCCCCCTAATGCTCCCCTTCAAGCTCAGAAGCTGACGCTCAAGAGCTTTTCTAGCCCTCTAGTCCTTGCTCTCTCCTTTTGTGTCAACTCTGGTTTCTAAAGAAGATGCTAAAACTGAGTTCTTAAACCTAGGTTCTTACCAATACAGGGAGATGTCGTCTTGGTAATCTCCATCTCAGAATCATAATAATTCAAGACGTTTTCTGGGATGACATTTTCTCTCCCTCATGTACTCTTTTGTCCTTTTTTTTTTTATGTCATAAAAAAGAATAATGAACTCATATGAATTCTGGAAAGTTATACACGGCCTTGACTTTCCACCTGTCAGTGTTCAAACTCTACCCGAGAGGCAGATTTTAAGACCTTCATCGTGAGCTTCCTATTGTGAAATAAGATAGTCTGGAAATAAAAGCTGGGACACCAGGTGGAACAGGCTAGTGGTAAAGGCATACAGAAGAAAAGGTGACTCTGGAGGCCAAAGGTAATGGGAGCAGAGTCAATGACATCAGTCAAGTTAACCATGAAGTCCCAGAGCCCTTGCAGATGGCCAGAGGGAGAGAGGGAGCAGCTCATCAGGACAATTGGAGCAGGTGCGGAACTGACAGACCAGGCGACCTTGTAGGGGCCCCAGTGCCTCAGGCAGGAGTCTGCCCAGGGTGCTGGGCTGAGGGGGAGCCTTGGGCTGAACTGTGTGAATGTGGTGGGAAAATTCTAACAGTGAGAAGCGTTCGAGAGCAAGACTGTCTCTATACTGTCCACATTCTTCCCCAACTTTGTTTTCCTTAAGTGAAATGCATGTTTTGGGGATTTATCTGTATTAATACATGCAGCTCCAATTTACTTGTCCAAAATGTGCATAGATTGACCCATGCTTTTGTAGAGAATTGAGATTCACCAACTTTACCCAAAAGTTTGTGCTTATTGACTTAGAGATGCCAGGACAGGAAGGTTCGCCAGAATTGAACACCATAGTATATCATGACAACATCCAAAACAGAGCTACACCCCATGCCCCAAGCTTGGAAGGCACCTCCAGCACAGCCAGGACCTGATACAGACGGGCAGTCCTGTCCTGGGCTGCCCCAGACCTCCAGTTGCAGGGTGGCTTTTGAATGCTCAGAAATCATTGAGCACACTAATAATGGGAAGAAATATCAGGTAATTCCCTTGGCATAAGTCTTATCCTTTCCAGTTAAGTACATTTTTATATATTTTTTAGGCAGGTTCTCCCTCTGTCACTCAGGTTGGAGTGGAATGGCAAGATCTCAGCTCACTGCGTCCTTGACCTCCATGCTCAAGAGATCCTCCCATTTCAGCCTCCTAAGATGTTGGGAAAACAGATGCATGCCACCACGACTGCACTTGCCATCATGGCTGGCTAATTTATTGTCATTTTTTACAGAAACAGGGTGTCCCTGTGTTGCCCAGGCTGGTCTTGAACTCCTGGGCTCAAGCAATCCTCTCACCTCAGCCTCACAAAGTGCTAGGAATACATATATGGGCCAGCACGCCCAGCCCCCATTCGATACTTCATTTATATATAATCCCATGGACTAAGGCGTCCACACAGCCTGAAAAAAACCAGGAAAGTGAGTCGTCTTGCACTTTCCCTTCAGAAATTCTGTGATAAGCTAAAAGCTGCTGTGATATCCGCAAAAGAATAACACCTTAAAGCAAGCAAACCAACAGGTCTTCTGAGCAGTATTGCAAAACAATCCTTGCTATCCTTTAGCCCAAGATATTTTAGTAGTGAAAAGCAGCAAATATTGGGTGTCTGCCATCCTCTAAAGAACATGAAGCTTGTTGAAAGCCACTGACTTCCAGGCCCTCTGGTTGGGGCGTGCGTCTGGAAGCATTCATCCCTCTGAAGGGTTTTGATTAAATGAAGCAAAGGAGGCTGTTAGTAACTCTCTGAGCTGTCTGAGCAGTTGTGACTGTCATTTAGGCCTAGTAATTCGTTATTATATCATTTGGAGACAGCAGAGCTGAGGATGGTGTTTCACGCTTTCAGGGAAGTGGATTGGAAGTGCGCAGCCCCAATTGTTGGCCACGTAGAGGCTTTGTGAGCCGGGGTGAATCTCTGAGGTTCTTTCTCAATCTACGTGGTAATTATGGCTTGTCTAGTTCTTAACTGCAAGTAACAGTAACTAAGCCTGGATAACTTGAAGGAAAAAAAAAGATATGGGGTTGTTCCCAGAATTAAGAGAAAAGCCCAGTGACCAGGTCGTGGGAATGCAAGTGACCCTGTGGAATGAAAGATTGACCTCCTGGCAGGGGGTGGGTTGAGGGCCTGAGGGTAAATTCAGCCAAATGTACCTGACCCTGCAGGTCAGGCCCCAAATCCTGGGAGACAGCCCCAGCTCAACCACGGGAGTGCGCTTCCCCCACGCCCAGTCGGGGACAGTCAAGGAATTGTGACCAATGCTCATTAAAGCTGATCGTCATCGGGAGGAGTGACTCTCAGGGGACGTCCAGGTGCCATTCCCACAGGAGAAGAGGACGCAAACTGGGTTTCAATAGCCACAGATGTCCATGCTATGGATGGTAACACCCTTGCCTATTCTGCATCCTTTAGTACATCAAATAATTATAGGACCCCCATAATTTTAGAAAAGCACTCCAAGGCACAGAGCAAGACAGATTTTATTTCTCATTTTAAAGAACTGTAGCGTGGAACACATTGTGGGATCTCTATTTTCTTGCTGCCCCAGGAAGCTTCAACTCAATGTGTTAATAATTCAAGAGGGTGTATTATGTATGAGCATTCTGTGGAATGTGAAAATTCATGAGAGTACTTATTTCCCTTTGAATTCTTAGCTTTGGTAGTTATTTTCTCAATGAAGTGAAAGAAGATTCACAGGTAGAACAACAGAAGAATTCAGAAAAAACAATAACTGCATAAGAAAGGGAATATTGGACGCATTTCATAATGTGATGGTTTCTTGAAAAATAAGAATGTTGAAGCAAGAGAAACCTGACCTGTGGTATCAGCTCTGCCTATCTGTGCGTGATTGGGTAAATCAACTAACTTATGTATCTTTCTGCTTCTTCACCTGAATGATGAAAGTGGTAACACACACTTGGTTGGATGGCGGGGTTTTGCTACGTCTGCGAGTCACCAAGTGCAGTGTCTCGCACTCGGTATTTCCTCAATAAATGGCACCTAAATGCAGTTGCTGGCCAGCAAGATACAGATTGCAAGTTGGACATCAAAACTCGGTCACTGCAAAGCCACCGTCGGGCTATTTTTAAAAAAGTATCGGTTGTTTTTCATGTTGTAATAACTTCACTCTCGGAGAAATTAGTGTATCATTCTGTTGAACTGTAAGACATTCAGTGTGATGGGCCACCAAGGACTTGTGTTTTCTCTCAGCCCAGAAATGAATGGGGGACGGCTGGTTCTGAATTTTAAAAGCTGTATGATTTTTTGCGCCTTCTTTAACTGTGATATTTGGAATGCTCTCTTAAGTAGGTCTATAATTCTCTTTCATGTCATTTTTTTAGTGTGGTGAACATTTACAAACAGAGCTCCCAAATTGAAAAGAAATCATGAAAAACGTAGGTTTTGGTTTGAAGGAAACCGAGGGTTCTTACTGTTTTTAATGCAAACCATCAAGAAATCTGTCAGCTTCAACGTTACTATTCTGCGTTTCATGGTTCCTGCTAAATGTGCTGTTGATTAATCATGACGATGTGAATGTCATGGGAAAAATATGGAGCTTCATTTTGAATACCATAAAGGCTCATTATGAAGACTCTGTTTCTTTCCTTCCCCTGCAAGGGACTCAGGTGCGCATATTAAAGCGAAAATAAATTCACACACAAAAATAGAAATCTAAAATTAAATATTTAATTAGAACTCTGATTTGCTTTAAAGATTGGTGGCATTGCACAGGCTATATTACACCCTCTGTATAATTTTTTCGACAAAAAAAGATACTGTTCATTTTAACAGGCCACTTTAATATTAATACATGTGTAATAGGATTGGAACTGAAAATCAGCTAGAGATGGTACATTTTACATTATTGGGAAAATTACAGTTCTGTATTGTAAAAACATTTATTTTTTAACAATGTACCTACATTAATCAAAAAATTACAGCATATTTAATAATTTTACAAATTCTTCATAAAAAATATATCTCTGTACAAAAAGGTCTTTCGCACCTACGTCGTGACAGCAGCGTGTGGTGGGACGGGAGGGAGGGTCGGCGATGACAATGGGTTTTCCTGATCATAATGCCAGCGTTCTTTTTTTTTTCCCCCTTTTTATAATAGCTTTTTTGTTGTTGTTTACAAAATATTTTACAGAAGAAAAAAATTATTGCAGCTAGCCTGAAAAAAGGCAAGATGTGTGTGTAAAACAAGCAGCAGTTTTAAACAGCTCTGAAGCACATGTCCTGTGTTAGCGTGTGGTCACGTCCCTCACGCGTGTTCCTGTTGCCTTCAGGGAAGAGTCTTCTAGACCTAACTCAGCAAGCACAGCTCCTGACTGCCCTAAAACGAGATCCTCCAACACCTTGCGGAGACTCCGTTCAACACTGCACACAACCCTAGGAAGAAACTAGGCAGAATTCTCACAAGAGAATTCCACTGATTTTTTTTTTTTTCATTTAAATAACATGCTTCGAACTGGCAACCCTAGGACAGTTTGACTTTGCACACAAAGGAAAATCATATCTAATCTGATATGTGGTTTCTTGTATGTATGTATGTCCTTTCGTTTCAGGATTTCATAGCATCATTGACCAGGGAGCAGGTCAGGGATGTGGGAACAGAGACATTAATTCAGACTCTGAAGTCAGCATTTTGCACCTAGTTTGAATGACTCAAACTTAGATATGTACAATATATATATATGTATGTATGTATATATATACACCTAATATGTATAGTAACCCTGTTCTCCCTTGCACACGAGCCTCCTCACACTTTCAACCGTCTTCTCTTTGTTTCGTTCAGTGTGTGTGTTAGGAGCACGACTCCCGCTGACCTCGTCCAGTCTACTGTGAAACAGCAAGGTAAGGATTCCCATTGGCAAAGCCAATCTCCAAGGATGTGGGCAGGGTGGCCAGGGAAAACTGCAGAGAATTCAGCGTAATGATACAGAATCCAACAGTGTGGGGTTCACAAGACAGAGGAGTCCCTAGGAGAGGCCAGTGAGTCCCCAGACAGCAGAGACCCCTTCCACTGAGGAACACAGCACTGGGAGCCGAGCTCTACGGAAGTGTCCAAGTCAAAACGCGTGACTCTCCAGAGAATGCCCTGTTTTCCTGACCGCTTTTCCTTTATTCGCATTTGAAGTCCTACATGGAAACCTTCAGTAGACCGACAGATAAATCAGTCTTAAAGCTAGGTGTGAATGTGTTCACTCCGACAACGTGAAGGCCAATTTGAACATTCTGACATTTCTATTACCAATGCCAATCTAAAATGTGAAAATTTGCCACAATTGGATAGGTACTGAAATATCAAATAATAAAATAAGTATTATCATTTCAAAAATATTTTATCAAACAAGTAAAAATAAACATGATCTTCACTTTGAATTTGTTACATAAACATCCTCATGGTCACATCTTCTACTTCATGTTTTGATTTTTATTCACCCTGGGGATCATACCGATTTTATTTGTACCATAACTTTTCATTTACCTATAATGTAATTTAAACCTGAAAAGTCACTGAAATTACCTTTCCATCTGGAATTATAAAGCATGAAACAAATAACAAATGAATGTATAAAATACACCATTGTGAGAGGACAGTGTGTGTACTTTTTCCTTCCCTCTAAAAGAACACTTAGTATTTTGATCCTGAACAATTTTCACTGAGTTCAAGGTGCTACTGTGGTATATTGTCTTTCAATGCAATATCAAAGATCGATGGCACACTAAAAGACAAAACAAAAACAAAACAAAAAACAGAAAACAAAAAAACTGCAAAAGGGAAGGCTGCATTGTGAGTTAAAACTCACAAGTTCAACAACTATCTAAAATAAATTACTATTCACAGTTTTACATGGCAAACAGAAATTTCTGCAAACCCCCTGCTATTAAGTAGTATCGGAGAGACAGTAATTGGATGAGGATGGTACTAAAGGAGGAAAACCTGGGAAATAAGGAGCCTTCTGTTATTTTCTCATTGGACCTCTTCAATGAATTCAACACATAAATGGAGCTAATTGAAGCAATAATAAAATAAATCTCTTCAATACTGTATTTCCTTTTAAATCTGTGCCATATCTAGGAATACTTTTCCCTAACACTCCAACTAAGCTGATGGTGGAATGGTTAGCTTGATAATATGAAAGAATGCTTATATACAATGGATAGTGTGTATAAACCCTGTGTAAATAATTTATTTTTTATCAGAATCTTACGCAGTCATTCATAACACACTAGTGCAAAAAATTGTGCATCAGACATTCTGCGACAGAACAGCTGATTGGGAAATTTGCAGACATCCCTAGAGATGAACACACAGGGGAGCTGTGAGGTCCTCAAAGCTTGCCAGGTCTCAGAAGGACAGAGTGAAGCCTTTGTAGGTGTGTGCCTCTATCAGAAAGGTGTCTTCTTCCAGAAAGCTTGTTTTATTTTTCTCAAAGTATTCATGTTCATGGGGGTTAAAAAAACACACACACACACGCACAAGAGAACACATATTGTGGTGCTACCATTTTGTCACCGCACCCGAAGGACAGATCCACGAGCCCAGAAGATTGCATTGAAAGGCATCCCAGCAACACAGAAATACGAAAGTCTGAGGCATTGAGTACGACGTGTCGGCGTGACGTGGCAGTCTTCCTGGAGTGTGCCTTGATTTCAAACAGGTGCAGCCAGGCATTTAGAACCCACTTTCGGAATGAAAACGCAGGTGTACTTTGATCCGCTGAAGACTCTGGCACATTTCAGTAGAGATCCCCGCTGCACGTATGCCAGTAGACAAGGTTGAAGATCGCTGCAGTAAAGCCAGAGTGGAAGGGAGAGTGGTATATGGCACCAAAGGAATCACTGCTTGTCCATCAGAGGTATGGCTATGAATCAGTCCTGTTGGGGCACTGAGGGCTATACCACTGTACAGACTGTGTTCAGAGTTGTGTCAAACCTCACAGCCTTGGCTTCTGTGGGTTTTAAGTTTGTATCATACATGGGGTTTTCAAACGATGCTTGTCCATTGCTGTTTTCATGCCCAGCATAGCCATTGTATTGAACTTTTGGTCTCGTTCTAAGGAAAACAGAAAACAAATCATGAGAATCCTGGTTTCAGTTGGAGATTTAGCAGTCGGGACTGGGTGCAGGAGACAATGTCTACAGAGCAGGCAGTAGTACAGCCAGGACGTTTGCAAAGAAGGAAGGCGTCCACACCTGCACACCTGTCAGTTTATTTGTTTAAATTGGTGACTGGGAATATAAAATGGGTTTTGAAAAGTGAAGCAATTTCAAAAATTAAATAAAATTTTTTTGAGACAGGGTCTCACTCTGTTGCCCAGGCTGGAGTGCAGTGGCACGACCACAGCTCACTTCAGCCTGGACCTCTCGGGCTCAGGCAATCCTCCCACCTCAGCCTCCTGGGTAGCTGGGATCAAAGATTTATTTATGCTTCCTACAAATGCCCCAGGGAAATTGGGAAGGTCCCAAAGGCTGAATTTGACTGGTTTTGTTTTGGATGTCTATTTATCACTGATCAGTTATACAGCCTTGGTTAAGTCACAAAACTTTCTACTACTCTGTAAAATCAGGTTGTGGGCATATGCCTAGCCTTTAGGGCTGTATGATTAAACTAAATTTCAAGTTTAAGCTTTTAGTTCACTGTCGTTACTAATATTCACAAAAAATTATTTTTTATTTTGTCTCTGTTGAGTTAAAAATGAATCTGTTTATAAAAAAGGAGCTATACTCATTATTAAACTATTATCACATTTTCTGGTTAAAAGAAAACCCCTACCTACAATCTATGATAGAGAATTAGAGGATTTTCAGACTGAAAAGACAGAATCATGTCTGGTCTGGCTCTGGCTCCTTTTATTCTTTCCTTATTCCAGAAGAAATCAGAGAAGAAAAATGTGCCACGTGGCAAAACCAGAAATTTAATGGACATAAACATGCTTCACAAAAACATCGTCTGACATCGGGTGTCAAGAAACTTCTGCCGAGTCATTTACTAGTAGATTTCCTTACGTTACACATGCTCATTAAGAAAAAGAGAAGTAAGTAGTGCATGGCCCTGAGAAAACGGCAGAACTGCAATTTGTAACTGCCCTTGGAGTGGGAGAGGTCGACATTGCGCTTGGAAAATGCGCCAGCAGCAGCGATAGCTAGCAAACAAATCCAGCCCCTCATGAATGAAGACCTGGCTAAATTGTTCACTCAGTCGTCCGGATCACAAGCTGCCACAGTCCCTTCACGTCTAGGGAAATGCAACCCCACAGTGGAACTGGCGGCAGCTGGATGCTGAGGTGCACGCGTGCAGCTGCACCTGGCAGAGGGCTGTCAGGACCTCGGGCTCTGAGGAAGCAATTCCCCACATGCAAGCAACAGACTCAAAAATGAGCAGAAACAGGGTTTTTCTGGAGGAATACAGAGCCAATTCATTAAGAAATATTTATGTCTGTAGAGCCTGAGAAGCCAGTGTAGAGGGTGTTACAGGCTTGGTGCTTTCCTGACCAGGTAGTGAGAACTTGAAGGAAATGAATTGATGTGCTGCTGGCAACTGAGCCCTGGACTTCCTTGATTTTGCAAAAATTCCACCATCCCTCGCCCCTATGGCACGAGGGATGAAAAGACCCAACAGACTGAGAAGTCACAGTGGCCTCATAGCCGCCTTCTTGAGAGCTGTGAGAGGGAAGAGCTTCCTTCATATTCAACATGCAGGGCAGCCTCCTGGTCTTGGTGCAGCATCAGGAAGGGAGAGAGTGCAGGTGTGATGACGACAGATTCCCCACTGGCCCAGAGGAGGCATCAAGTTTACATAAAAATAAGTGCTGTCTCCCTTATATCTGGCTCTGAAATCTGAGATCTCTTTCCAAGGCACTGCCTTCACGGAGACACCCAACTACTCAACATCGACAGGGAAGATGCTCAGGTTTAATGACTAAAACTGGTGTGTATGTTGAATATACCCCCCAATGCTACATTGTCTTAAAGTTAAGATATAATCAGAAGTCATATTTATGTATAAATATGCATATATAATTATGTGGGGTTATCTTTTTAAAGGCCAAGACAATCCCAGACTTACATGAAGGTTTGCATCTTTGCAGGCAAGTTAACGGAAAACAGCTTTAATGGACTTGACCCTTTCCTTGGGGTTAATGTGGATGCCAATCAAAAACAAAAATAAATTTGTAGGAATTGTAAGTTCCTACAGTATGTGTCTCTATAAGGATATTATATGACCCCGAGGAACCTTTGAAAGAAGATACATTTTTAGTGCATATCCCTTTAAGAAGAGAAGCCCCTCTAATTATGGCATCTTATTGGATAAGGTAGTGGCATATCCCTCTACATTTACTAAATTTTAAACTAGTCCTGAGCAGAAATTCAAGGATAAGGCTCATCAGACTTGTGTGTTTTGGGTATTTTTTCTTCCAAAAAATTAATACAGATGTGCCAATCTTTCATTTTGTAAATATCATCTGAAATGTTTTTTCACTGAGTCATATTCTTAAAGAAAGAACATTACCAGCCATTAGGGAACTGAAGACATAGGTACAAGCGGCTAATACACCTTTGAAGCAACATTCTCTCTACTGTGTACTTCAAAAGTGACTACAAGAAAGCACATATTTAAAGAGGCTATTTCATGAGTTATTAAAAAAAATATGACAGTTTTTCTGTTTTCTGTTAACCAGAATTAAGTGAAATATCCGTATTATATACTGATATTTATTTAACCTATGTAATTTTATTTCAGGGGATCATAATTTACTTCTTATTATTTGTAGTTAATGCTACCATTTCAAATAGTATTTTAGAGTAGTTTGGCATTTCCAGATTCCTCCAGGAATGTATTATCCATATACGGATACAATGTACAAGGAGTTTATAGTTCCTCCAAAATAATCCTTTTTTTTGGCATCCACATTCATCCCAAGGAAAGGATCTAGTTCACTAAAGCTGGTTGTCCCCAAGTTTTGATATTTTGCAGTTAGTAGAGTTTTGCAAATTAATGGATATTCCGAACAGTTTTTCAAGAGATGGAACATCTATATTGCTTACTGCATATAAAGAGCTACATTTGTATTTGTTGAAGGAAGAAATCAGTGAAACAATTATCAATCACAGATTCACAGAGTTGAAAGTGGCCATAGAGAACATTCTGTTCAACCTTTTGCTGGAAGGTTGAAATACCTTCTAAAGGTTCTCATGGCTGGCCATGGAGCCTGAATATAGAGATAGAATCCTTTATTTCATCTTTCAATTGAACATGAAAGAAAAAAATTATTTCTCAACTCAGTCATTTATTCTCTTATTTCTTAGATGTATCCTGCTTAAAAAGTAGGGCAGAAAACAACAAAAAAGACAACAAAAAATCTTCACAAATAAGCATTGTTAGTGTAAGAAAGAGCACTGCTCTCACTCATAAGTGGGAGCTGAACGATGAGAACATATGGACACATCGGGGGACAACACACATTGGGGCCTGTGGGTGGTTGGGGGTAGGGAGAGCATCAAGATGAACAGCTGATGGGCGTTGGGCTTAATACCTGAGGGACGGGCTGATCTGTGCAGCAAACCACCATGGCTTACGTTTCCCTAGGTAATAAACCTGCACATCCTGCACATGTACCCCAGAACTCAAAAGCTGATTACAAAAAAAAAGAACATTGCATAGTAATATAAAATACGTGTGCATGTGAGCACGAGACCATGCCCATTACTTAAACCCATAGTTTACACTCACAACATTCTCAAATAGATGGTGTTTCTGCAGTACCTGTGTTTGTAGAGGTAAAATGCAAACCCTGATAAAATTAGAGCAAAGAAAGGAACCAGAATGGCAGCCGCCACAGAGCCACTGCTGGTGCCGTGGTAATGATTCGAAGAGTCTTGATCTGGGTTTAAGGGATCTGGAAGATAAAGGAAATATTCAATTTGTTGTTACTGTACTCTGCTTGAAGAAATAAGTATGATACATTTTATAAATGGATATGAACTCTACAAGAAGCAGACGGAGTTACCATTTCACAGGAAACCAACTGATACTCTTTTCTAAAGATTTTAATATCCACTTAGTGACCAAGACAAAAACCTATTTCCTACTAATCATGGAGAATACTACGAAAGAGTCCCAACATTTAAAATGTGAGAAAGGCAAAAGGGTCACTTTACATCCTGACTTTTGTTTATAGTTATAGGTATTTTCACATAAACTAACTGAAAACATTTATATATGTTTTCTATATTCAGAGGTCAGTAATATTTGCTGTTTGTTTCTGTCTTAAGGCCAGACTCAGCAAAATATGTCATTGAAATTATGTAAATATCCCAGTTATGCATACAAATGGCATTGCATTCTTCATATGTGAATAGGATGGTGCTATCTGATCCGCCTTTATTTTAGGTAGATTCTGAAATTCACATCTGAATTTAGAAATACTCAAAAAAAAATATAGTTCAACGTCACAATGCAAGTTTCCATGAAGACACAAAATAATGCTAAAATACAACTTTTTAAATTAATTAATTATTTTTTCTTTCTTTTTTTTTTTTTTTGAGACAGAGGCTCACCCTGTCGCCCAGGCTGGAGTGCAGTGGAGCCATCTCAGCTCATTGCAACCTCCGCCTCCAAGGTTCAAGTGATTCTCCTGCCTCAGCCTTCCAAGTAGCTGGGATGACAGGTGCCCGCCACCATGCCTGGCTATTTTTTGTATTTTTAGTAGAGATAGGGTTTCATCATGTTGGCCAGACTAGTCTCGAACTCCTGACTTCAAATGATCCGCCCACCTCGGCCTCCAAAAGTTCTGGGATTACAGGCCTAAGCCACTGCGCCCGGCCTAAAATATACCTTTTATCCGTTAGAAAGGAAGGCAGATGTAAATACTTCATGTATCATGAAGGTGATAGAATCATCTATTCTATAATACACGACTATGGAGTGTCTCATTGCATGGTACTGAGAGGAAAGCATTAAAAATTCAAATCCACAAATATTTATTAAGCAACTGTTGCCAAAGAAGAAAACAAGTTCTTGAAGAGTGTACTAACAAAATACAATTTTGAGATGGATTTGGCCTAATTGCATGGAGTCACTTAATGCAGGTGTGCAATGAATTATGATTGGCGTCATCTCAATATAGCAGAATTGTTAAGAAGAAGCTGATCTGGTTTTCATATTTCCAGAATTTATAAAATGTCAAATTCAAAGAGATGTGGCTTTATTTATTGTTATATAAACCAGAAATGCAAAAAATCAATCAAATATTAAAAATCTTTAAATCACTATTTGTATCAACATTCTTTAATTTTCATATAAAAACTTTCAAATGACATTATTTGCCATTTGCTTCAATCGATGTAGGATTATGACTGCCTACAATATTAACGTCCAATAGGAACATATTTCGAAATAATGTTGGCTTTTTACAACTACATATCTTTTTGAGATTTGTCCCATCCTCATGCAAAAGGAAAATGCCAGACGTCTGCTCTCTTGCAATCTGAGCACCCAGGTTATGGATGTGCAGTGAGTGAGGCCAACTGGATGTTCCCACCCCAGGCACTGTATTGGAAGTGAGGGATGCAAAACATTCTGTGATGGTTTAAAATTTGTTCCATGGGTGAAGGGGTTCTAGAACCCTGGGGACAACGTAAGTGTGTGTGTGTGTGCGCGCACATTGAGGGTGGTCCCAGCAGCAGCAGTGGTGGCAGCAGTGATGTCCGGTGACCAGGGGTGGTGCTGTCCAACAGAGAGCAGTGGTGCCCTACTCAGATGGCACCAACTTCATGGGTTGGTTGTGAAAATCATATGTTAGTACATCTCAAGGGCTTACAACAATGCCTGGCACAGAGGGAATGTTCACTCGGACTCAGAGTCACAAAAATAGAAGCTTCCTGAAGCCAGGGTTTTTGTTTTGTTTGGTTTGGTTTGGTTTGGTTTGGTTAGCTTTCCTCTTGAATCCTCAGAACCTGCAACAAAAGCTAGAATACAGTATGTGCTCAATATATATTTGCGAAATTTTAAAAAAAGGTTTTGTCTTTATAGCATTTCAGCACCCAAATATGTTTTAGTTTCCATTATGTTGCCATACATTGATCTCCAAGTTTCTGTAATTCTGGGACTCTCTGTCTCATTCTTATAAATGTGTATTCTACTTACATTAACCATAGTTACTTTCTTTTATCTGAAAACAAAGCTACACACTTTTATCCATAATAGATATCAAAATTCAAATAATAAAATGCTGGAAAATCTACATGTCCCAAGACACCTCACATGAAAACAAAGAACACCACATAAGAAGATGTTTGTGAATTACATAACCAAACGTACTGTGAGATTATTACATGTCTGCAGCTCCTGGTTAATTTCAGTTACTTACCCTTGTTTTAATAATTTGAAGGTTAATATACACACATGGTGCTAATTAAGATGGCATAAAGGGATATGAAAACAAATAATATAAAGGAAAATTAAAATAATCATTCCTTGCCCTACAAGGCAGTTCCTCTTCAGAGTTGAGGGTTTTAAAAATTGTCCTTCCAACAATGTACTCTTAATATATGTGATTATTTTTCTCTTTCCTCATTTTAATAATTGGTGATATTATTTGCATGTTGCGTATGTGGCTTTTTAACCTTAACAGTATATTTCTGAGGCTCTTCCATTGGCATATATAAATCAGATTTAATTTTTTAAGGTGCGTAGTATTCTACTGATTAGACATAACAACATTTATTTAGCCAGTCTACTGTCCAGGGACATTTAGGGTATTTCTAGTATCTTCTATAATGCTGCAATGAAATCTTTTGCCTCTATCTATGCATTAGCAGGAGTCTACATTATATAGGACAAATCTTCAGAAGTAGAATTATTGACAAACAGAATTTGTGCCTTTTAGTGTTGCTACATCCTACTTAATTGCTCTCTAAAGAGGCACTGCAATTTCATTCAACCATTATCCTACGAGGGTCTTTACAATAACACATGGACAGCGTGTGTGATCCCTCTGCTACCCTCCTTTCCCTCCTCCTCCCGCTCCCTGTTTTCCCCTTTCCCTCATCTCTCATCGCCCTCCTTCCACGTGTTATTATTGGTTCCACCACTGTTGTGCAACTGTTGCTGCTGCTACTATGGTGATAAATCAAACACAGTAGTTAGGTATTTATAAATTTACATTTTTTTTACTGAAGAAGGAGGGTGATAAGCTAGGTCATTCAATTTTCTAAAGCTCATTCTTGGAACAAATGCACATCCAGTCACACAACACTTCACGTGGGGGATACGTTCTGAGAAATGCTTCGTGAGGCCATTTTGCGGCTGTGTGAGCCTCAGAGTGCACTCACACACCTAGATGGTGTTGCCTACTGCACACCTAGGCTATAGGTACAGCCAGTGGCTCCTACGTGAGTAACGCCGTGCACTATGACATTATGGCAGCCATGGTGTCACCAGGTGTTAGGAATTTTTCAGCTTCTTTAGAATCTTATGTGGTCACTGGTGTATACGAGATCTTTTGTTGACCAAAATGTCATTATGCGATGCGTGACTATCCTATATAATTCATTCACTTAAGCTGAACACACAATCCAAGGCTTTCTCAGTGTATTCATAGGGTGGTGCAATCATCACCACGGTCTCACTTAGAAGACTGGTGTCCTTCCAAAAGAATCTCAGTATCTCTTAGCTTTATTCTTCCTCCACCTTCATCGCAACCTTTAGCCCTAGACAACCACTAATCAATGTCCCATCTCTATGGATTTGCCTGTTATGGACATTTCCTGTAATGGATTCATACACTATTTGGCCTTTTTTATCTGGCTTCCTTCATTTAGCATGATGTTTCAAGGTCCATCCCTGTTGTAGCATTCATCAATACTTTATTCTTCTTCAGTGCTAATATTCCATTGTGTGGCTATACTACATATTGTTTATCCATTCATCCATTGATAGACATTTTAGTTGTATGCACATTTGGGTTATTACAAATAATGCTGCTCTAAGATTCATGTACAAGTTTTGTGTGACATATATTTTCAGTTCTTTCAGCTAAACATGTAGGAGTGGAATTGCTGGAGCTTACAGTAACAACTGTTTGATGAACTGCCAGAGTGTTTTCCAGAGCAGCTGTATCATTTTGTGTTTCCCCAGCAAAGCACAACAGTTCCAGTTCCTCTGCCTCCTTGCCACCCTTTGCTATTTGGCTTTCAGATCACAATCATCCTTGTGGACGTGAAGTGGTATCCCAGTGTGGTTTTCATTTGCATTTCCCTAATAATGATTATAATCAACATATTTTCATGGGCTTATTGCCATTTGCATGTCTTTAGAGACATATCTATTCAAATCTTTTGTCAATTTCTTATTTAGGTTATTTGCCTCTGTATTTTTCAGCCATAAGAATTCTTTGTATATTCTGGATACAAGTCACTTACCAAGTACACAATTTTATGTATTTTCTCTCATTCTTTGTGTGTATGCTAGGGTTGGGTCACTCAATCTTAATGGGGAAATTAATTTATTGTTGAGTTTCTTATGCAAGTTTTTGCATTAAAGTTATCTTTCAAGTTAATTTTATTTTACTATCCACTTAATGACAATCACATTTTTTGGTTTATCTACTGACTAGAAAAAATTAGGAGGTTGTTTATTTTTATCCATAAAAATAGATACTTGCCATCATTCTTAAATGAATGGTTGTTGTTGCAGAATTACTTAAACACAAACTTCTCTAATTAGCTGAAGGGCGGGGGGACTTACTTATGAGTCAAATTATTTTGTAAAGTAAATTTCTTTTTCCTGACAATAACCTCATCATCACATGAGAATACAAATTCCTTGTTGAAGCAAGCTGTTATTTTGTTAGATTAAAAAGAAATGGGGTAATGCAAATAAAATTAGTAATAGCAAACTGATAGTTCAGGTCAAGTTCATTGGATCGGTAAACTTAGACATCTACACAGCATCTTGTACAGCTCACTGGGGTGTCCTTAAACAAAATTACTAGAGCGTGTGCTACATAGAGAAAGGAGGACAAATAACTCCGGGATTTGGCTTAGAGCAAGAGAAAAAACATTACCCATCATTAGTGTTGGTCTAATGCGTTTATTCTATTTCATTACCTCAAAATAATATAACCCAATTTAAAATATAATCTCAGCCGTGGCCAACATTATAATGCTCTTCTATTTAATAATACTGTAGTTTGAATAGTGGAAGTAAAGTATTTTATGATTAATTATCCTTTTTTTTTTTGCCTTTCTACAAGCCAGTAGACATTTTTTGCATTCAGCACTTTGATAAAAGTCTTACAAAATAACTTCATTGTGGTAATCATCACAAAATTGTATACTCACATTCTTCCAAAAGGTGGCTCTGGTAGCAAAGCCTATATGGTAATTTTCTTCTTTATAAAATAATGTGTGAATAGTATAAATGCATTAGACCAACACTATGTCTGGCATATTTATTGCATTATTTCTGGCTTTGTGTTTGTCTATTTTGCTATTCAAAATACTTTTTTTTTCATTCAGCTGTAAAATATGTTAGTCTCCCATTATTTTTGTTTAGGTTTCTTTTAGAGTTGTCTTTTCCATTTCTTCTTAGAAAAATCACTGGAAAGCCAAACTGATATTTGCTTTAAAAAATATCTTAAGTGCAACTTACCTTGCCTTTCTAGCTTAAATTTTCCAAAGTCTTTTCCATGAATGTCACCTTGAAAGGTAAATCCTCCCCTTTCAAGTCCAGATGATACCTGATATATAGGAAAGAAAAGAAATATAAAGGTATACAAAAGGATGAATAATATCTTCTTTTAATATATCTTTTAATATAACTGTTACAGCTCATATTTAGATACTACTGGTTAAATATTTTATTTCTGCCACTCCTTTTGGTGACACATTTATAGTTAAAGATCAGAAACCAACACAGAAGTGAACTTCACCTAACGTATGTAAATCTCACAATCTCATTTTGATCTCGAAAATGATAGTAAATTTTACAGTATATCCATATGGTAACTACACTTTCTAAGGGAAGACAAATGTATGAATTAAGAAACAATCTACGTTATGTAAAACTGGCTGTGTGTCCCAGCTACTGGGCAGGGTACATCATGTGAGGCTGTCTACCCTTAAGTCAGATAGTGAATTAGAACACAAACAAATGGTTAACTTGCAAAGAAGGGTGTTAAGGGGGACGTCTTAAGTCTCTCTGGCAATGATTTCTCTTAGAACGAGCAGCGTGGTTATCAAGTGGTCTTAGAAAATTTCTGGTGGTACCACTCATGATATAATGTAGCAGTAACATCACAGACCCTGGATTTCAGGTCTTGTTCTGCCCTCAACTGCAACCACCCCTTTAAGGATGGCCAATTTGTTTCTTACGTCTTAGACCTGGTTTCTTCCCTTATAAAATGAACGAATAAAATGACCACTCTGTCAACAAGAGGGGCGGCTGAGTTTTCAAGGGGCACACACAAGACAGTTCTACTCAGAAGCCTCCAATCCGTAGCCCTCACCTCTGCAGAGATATTAGAAAGCCTGTGCTTTGTCACAGACCTTACACATGTACTTACGTAACCATCTAGTCCCCAGTTGTCATTTTCAAACTTGCTTACAAAAATATCTGCCGGACCTTTAATTTGAAAAGCTTTTAGGAGTAAGTGGGCCTCCTCCTTCTTGTAAACGCCTGTGAAAAGATCAGCAGGTCAGGCTTACCTTGGAGAAAGTTAGCAATTCAGCCCTTTCATCCATTTGATGTGGAATGTGGTACAGAGACGATAATATCATAGATAATAGAAAACTCAAACAGAAATTGTATTTTTATTTGTGAATTTTAGCCTCAGAGCTTCTTTTTTCCCCTGAAAATCTTCCTACATCCTTGTCTATCTTCAATAGGTATAATCCACTCCACTAAGTTCAAAACCCTTATTCCACAGAAAGAATAAATAATAACATATTTGATTTTGCTAATTAAAAAATCTCTCTCTAAAAAAGTACACAATAGAAATACTTACATCACAGAATTAATGTAAGAATGAAAAAGATAATACACATACGGTGCTTAAAATACTTTTTGCCATATAAATCAAGGCTGTTTTTATTAATTATGTGATGATTTTAAAAATCTCATGATGAGCACATGAGTTAAGAAAAAAAGGATTAAAAAATAAAGTTTGGAGACATGCATTATCTATATATGAATCTCAGATTCTTGACTTAATATGGGCATAATTTTGAGCAAATCAGTTCACTTTTCTGTACTGGTTTTGTAATCTTTAAAATGATAAAATAGTACCAACCTCTCATGGCTAGGGAGAGGCTCCAATGAGTTACAATATATGCAAAGCCAACAGAACATTAATAATTAATACTTACTAGATCACCTCTCTGTGAAAAGAGAGCAGGTCTATTTCCGCTCACACCATGCATTTTGTGAATTCTTCGGGACCTACCTGTCAACCTCAGCTCCACTTGAGAGGCTTCACTGAAGGTGGCATTCACCTTACTGCTTGTGGCATTGAACCAGTCAACAGTTAGAGTGGCGGGTTGCCTTTTCCCTAAATATTCATAATATCCCTTCCACACTGAATTGACGAAAAAGACGTCTGAAGGAACTGTGGGAAGGGGGGAAACAGATGAATGTCAGCACACACACAGACAATAAATTCAGACGTCATTAAACATAGAAGGCATAATACTGCTTAGTGAGCGATCACAGATGAGGGCAGTGATGAAGACAAGGGGAGCCTAGTGCATCGCTGTTCACAGCATGTGCAAAACTCAAAAGAAGCAGGTGCGAAGATTATTATGGTATGCAAGTAGACATTTGTGTTTATGGTCTTATTTTTATTATTATTATTATTAGAAGCCAAAGCATACCTATTTTAACAGCCCTTCCAAGGTCATAGGGTATGGTGAATTAGGACTTCTAACATTAGTTTAGTTTTTACTGTGCTTAGTAAGATATATGTTTATCTGACCCATGAAATCACTACTGATATTTCAATAATATCCAAGTCTACTCTTTGAAAGACTTGGAAGGCTCAGAAGAACTGATATATATCATTCGACAGCAATGCCCTATCTTGAAAAAGCTTACATATCCCAGCACCAACTGCACTGGATATTCCAGCACCACATGGACTTATGAAGACAAAGCCCTTTCATTTCAGAGTCTTTCTTTTGTAAGTAGAGTCAGTCCCTCTCATTCACACTCTTCTGCTCTTCTTTAATCTCTTTGTGTAAAATATTCCATAAGTAAGAAAAGATGGGCTCAATAATTTCAAATTTTTCTTTCATATATGTCTTTTAAATTCAGTAATAAAAGACACAGTCTTTTTAAAGCATAGAATTCATCGACAGGAAAACTCGCAAAGATTATTGAGATATTTCCTCATGCTTTCACTGCTTAAGAAAAAAATAAACTTATTTTTCATGTGTTTGTTTAAAAATGTGTATAAAATCCTGCCATTTTCACACATGAATTGTAGTGTATAAATTCACATGATGATTCCAATGTTCCTTTTTGTTTTCTGCCTTATGATGTGTATGAATTATTTACTTAGACAAGATTCATGATAAGCATAATTGGTCAAAACACATTGCTTGAGTTGCTAGGTGGAAGTGAAGATTCATGTCTCCCTAACCTATTTTTTAGAAAGTCCATTTACAGTTGCAAATAATGAGGACAAAAGTATATTGTGCCTATACCTATGCTTCTCTTTTCAGCCCAGTTGGCCATTTTCTTGTTTTCCTAGGCAGGCTAAACCTATAAAGCTTGGCCTAGCAAGAGAAGGGTTAAAGAAGAACAGAAGATAATAGCTTCCTTTGGCCTTAAGTAGACCCCACCTTCTCATAATAATAGTGATAAGAAAATAAGTTAAAAACTCATATATCCACACAAGTATCTAACACATTTGCTTACAAATCACTGAGTTTAGACACATCTACTTAGCCATTGCCAGCACCACAGAGACCCCCATTTTAATCAGCAACTCCAAAATAACTTTATTTTCCATTACTAAAATTAATAGCCTTTGAAGCACATAAAAATGTTTTCCCTAATTAGAAGTTATATGCTCTTCTGAAGTTACTAAACCACTTGTCCAAGCATTCACTTAAGGTAATCCTGTTGAAGTTTCACAGGAATGGGCCAGGCTTGGCTGGGTAGGGTAAGATACAACCAATGTCTTAGAAGTGGCTTCTGTGTATTAAATATGACCACGAGCCATGTGGTAGAGGTCATCTTTCTGGGTCTTTATAATTTCACTTGTTGCTGGCAGCCTGCAGTATAATGCAGAAGCCACATAGCTGAGATGTACTACAATGTACCACCTTGATGAAGAATCACATTCTATTAGCACTTCCCTTCCAAGAGCATAAGAAAAGGAATATTGATAATAATGTTTGCACCTACAAAAGGAGTGTATAGAGATTTCAATATCTTAAACACAAAATAAGCAAATAAAAAACAAAACACACACACAACAATAATAACAAAAAGAGACTGTGTTTTCTTCCATTGGAGAAAATGTTGCCTGGATAAAAAGCTTTGACTTCTGTATGTGATTTTTAGGTGATATTTAAATAAAATAGTCTAGAGAGATTTAAAAAATATTTTATATTCTTTAGTATGCAGATTGGAGAAATTCCTTTAGTCATATTGGCACATTTTTCTTTGTCTAAGAATTAAGTGTGTAATACAGCATCCTGACAATAGCATTACAAATACTCTTTCCATGTTTGATTCTAAAATAGAGCTTATGTCCAAAAAAAAAGTGTTAAAACCTGAATAAAGTACTACTCAAGTGACCTTATATATTTACAAGGGATTTCTCTTTCTGATAAAACAACAACAACAACAAAATACCCAACTTAAATTAATATAATTTGGGATCCATTTTGTTATTTAAATATAATTTAAATTTAAAACACAGATAGAACATGGCAGATGATTTTGTATCGTGAAAACTTTCCTCGGGAAATAGGACAAAACACAGATAGAACATGCCAGATGATTTTGTATAGTGAAAACTTTCCTCGGGAAATAGGACTGCATTTTTGCAATTTGCTACATAATGCATTTAGCAAAAGGCACCACATACAACAAAAAACTATAATTAACATCTTAGAAGGCAAAGGATGCCTGAATGAATGGAGATACTTGGAAAAAATCGGGCTCCATATTTGAACTGTTTGCATTAACAACTTACGCTGTAAAAATGCCTCATTGATATGAGCTTCCTCATTTGGAGGAAGAAAATCGCAACCCTCTTTATAAGGCTCTCCATTATACCACATGGAATGATCAGTGTTTTCATTTCTCCTGCCAAACGCGGAAGGCACGTTTGAATGAAACAGTGTGTTTCTTTCTAAGTGGAGTAACGTTATTTCATTAACAAACCACTGTTGTGAAATACACAGAATTCTACGTAGGCTTCGTGTTTTAAATAATTGAAACATTAACTTCGTCATGGACTAACGGATTCGGAAATTTAAATGTTGAGAATTGTTTCATTGTGCAGAGTAGAGAACAAATCACTTTATTTGATTGAAATCTATAACTGTTCTGGTATACAAACCTGGAGTTTTAGTAACTGTTTCATTAACTTCTCTCACTCCTTTACCTACAAGTAAAAAGACAAATTATCATTTTTTAAAAAAAACATTTTTGAGTAAGTTTGAAAAAATGTCAAATTGAAGCAATTTTCCTTCTCCAGATTTTTTTAATGTACAAAATATGAATACCTTATACATATACATTTTAAACCCATGTCTTTACAGCAGAATATTCTTGGTGTTTGTGGGAAAGCAGAGTTTAAGGATGAAAAATCAATGTACATCTATCTACGCATATTTCCATTGAAAGTGCTACAACAGAGAGCCTTGCAAAGGAGGGTGGCTTCTATGACTTTTCTCATATCCTACTTGGAATACCCTGCTACATACGAAATAACCAAATAACCACGATGTTATAGTCCCTCTTGATTGTCCAATACCCCACCCAAATCAATGAATTTATACATTACTATTGAAAAATTCAAAATTATTTCCATTACAGAATGTTCATTTTGGTCTATCAAGTTAGATTTAAATCATAATTTCTTAGCTTTCACAGTTTTATATCAAACTACGAATCACCATTTTAAAAGTTTTCATTCTTCTATTTCTAACAGGGAAGGGCAAGGGAAACCAAAGTCTCTCTAAAATCCCTAATATGAGAACTATAAATAGGCTCCAGGAAACAAAACCTAAGGTCACTGACTTTCTCATGTTCCATCATTTTTGGTTTATGCTGTTTAGACTCCATGGATTTATAAATTACATACAGGGGAGAACCTGAAAGTTTGGCTATCATCAAAGCTGACCCAGGCTGATGATTGTCACTTGTAAACACACAAATTGGTAATTAATGGATCGTTTCTATGTGAATTGCTTTTGTAATTTTACAAAGCAGAACCAATGTCAGGGACACATAAACTTAGGTTTTACCACAAACAGCATGTGGTCTTAAAAATAACCACCTATATATTCTCGGATACTTGGTGATATTTATTCATTTTCATCTCTAAGAACTACTTTTCCTGAAAATATACCGAGTATTATTTTCCTTTTAATTCAGAATGCTTTTCTTTAACCAAATAGCTTTTCTTTTTTGGCTTAAAATAATACAATGATTGTATTATGTACTAATTGCATACTAATTGTACTATATATCCGCTTGACTCTGCCACCGTTGCATCAAACACTGAGGATACACACGTTCACGCACACAGCTCACGCACATGAAGCAAGACTGAGGCAGGTGATGATGCTGCAGCCTCAAGCTCTTACTTATGGGTTTTCTCACATGGACACTAGCCTGATGGGCAGCCGATCCTTTCCCTTGCTCTTTGGAAAAGTATGCCACTCCTTGATCAGTAACTTACTTTTACACACAGGCGACTTTCCTGTCCATTTCATGTCTGCTTTACAGGTTCTGTGCTCAGATCCACCTGCGAGGAAAAAGCCTGGATGGCAAGTGTACACTAAGGTATAGCCGAAAGTAGGAAGATCGATGGCTCTCACGTCTGCGTGCGCCGGGGTTTCTGGCTGTCTGCAGGCATGAGCTGAAACAACATTAGGAAACACTGAGACTTTGTTTACTGTAAAGTCAGCACATGTGTCTAGAGAAATGAATAGACCAAAACAGTTTGGAAATTGTTATGCAGTCAGTCATACATATATGTTACACATATGTATGTCATGTTTTTGGTAGAGATGAAGTCTTGCTATATTGTCTAGTCTGTGCTAGAACTCCTGACCTCAAGCTATTCTCCTGTGTTGACCTCCCAAAGTACCAGGATTACAGGCATGAGCCACTACACCCATCCTATGTATATTTATACATAGGTAATTATGCACAAAGATTTAGAGTAGAGATCATAGCTTTGAAATAAAAAAAAAACAATTCTGCTATACTACTAAAATAAATAATGTTAAAGATCCTTAAAAGCCCAGTCTTACAAATTATACAGACTGGTGACTATTTAGATATGCCTTGATTTTGTTCTGGTGGAAACCAGCAAATTTATTATTCAATTTCATTAACAATTGTGGTAAAAATTTCGTATGTATTTAGAAACAATATATTATAGATACTTATTTTCTTTAAAATATAATTTAGGAATAAATGAGATTGTAACGTATACTCTGTATCTCAAACCACTCCATTCCTTATAAAGTTTGCATATATGCCATAAGGATTGGCATATTATTATAAAACAAGTTTAGAATTTTAACATTGTGCATGCAGTTGTTTTGAGTATTGTCACTATTTCACTAATGAGTAACCATAACCAGTACCTGATATTATCAAACTCCATATTATATATAAACACATGCATATATGTACGAGTGCATGTGTATACATCTATATGTACATATACTATCAACATATAATTTGAGTAGTGATTTAGAGCAGAGATGATAGTTTTAAAATAAACACACCCAAAAATCACATCTTATATACTATTAAGATATTTTTATAACATTCTACTAATGTTTTATTTTTAATATAGTAAGAATAAGACACTGTATTTCACTAAATTGAGAGTGAGTGAAATGAATAATTCACATACTACCCATCCATCCATATATTTTTCCTAATTATCATGATTAAGTCACAAAATAAAATGCGATCCTTAAGTGTGTATCTGAATGATCAATTCATATATACTTCCTAATTATAGCGAGAATAATCTTTTAAACACTTCTACTTAGACTCTGACATATGACATTATTCAGTTGACCCTCTCTTTAGTAATTTGATGTAAATATCCTAGAAGAATAATAGCATGGACAAATACGTTTTCCCTCTAAGAATGTTCAATGTAATGTTATTCACTTATCTTCGGTTTCAAGCAGTTTCTCAGACTTTACTGTGCCTTAGAATCTCCTGGAGCGCTTGTTAAACTAAACTGTCCCCCTTCTCTCCTCCCCGGCTCCCTCCAGAGTCTCTGGTTCAAAGTCAACGGTGGGGCTTGAGAACTGACTTCACAGCCCAATGTCCAGCCAAATGCTTAGGCTGCCAGTTCTAGGGAACCAAACTTTGAGGACATCCAAAGTTTAGGATTGGGGAGTTAAAAACAATTTCTTATTATTTCCCTTAGTGGTAAACACTTCCCAGACATTCACAACAAATAGTTTACTTCGGATTGTGGTGGAAGAAATTACACTTACGTATACATTCGGTCTGTATCCCACTCCATGTTAAATTGGCAAGGCAGGTGCGAGTCGTGGAACCTTGAATATGGTAGCCTTTTCTGCACCTGAAAAAAACCGTGCTTCCAACCTAGAGAGGAAATCCAATACTAGCTTCAGAGGCCAAGGGAATATTCGAAGTATCAACTGGTGATACTTGAAAGCACATGCCAGGGTAAAAGTATAGCAGCAATTTTTCACATTAATGTCGAGCCATTGTCTAAATCAACGTGCACATTATAACTGCATGTTACAGTGTTACACACAATGTGGATTGCTCAATGAATAGTGTGAGATCTTTGTGAATTTTGAAAATTTAGAAGGCTGTTTGGGTAAGGAAGTTACGCCTTTTCTGTTTTAGAGTTCTTTATTTTTTGTTTGTAATAATTATTATTTCCTTTTTCATTTTTTTTCCTGCCACTCACATTTTAAACAATTGGCATTTATTAGAAAATTACTTTTGTTAGCACTCCTAGGGGACTGGTCAACTCCTGCTCATACAGAGGCCGCCAAAACTCTGTCTTTCTTACGCTTCACACTGTACAAACTATTTACTGTTGTCTGCATGTCTGGGGCATCTTCCTCACCAGGTCTTCACAAAGCTAACCCCTACTAAATTCTCTGTGCTTTGCTTAAACTGCACATCCTCTGCAGATTCTTCTCTGATCTTCCAAGAATGAATCACGTGCTGCTCAAATGCGTTTCCCCAACATCGGATGTTATCTGTGCTACTCACTACAACGTCTTGGAATTGCCTGTATATTTATTTACCTGTGTGTGTTCCTAATTTAACCAGAGGTGCCTTGAGGGGCAGATTCCTGTGATCTGTAAATATCTTTTTTAGAGTATGAGCTCTGGTCCATGTGTTGAGGGGCACCAAAGATCGTCCATGTTCCTGTGTATCCGCAGCATGAGGCCAGCATGACCCACGTACAAAGGGAGAGGGAAGCAGCCCCCAGGGAAGGTGGGTTTGCACTCGTGAGAGCTTGGCTTGGGACCAGATTGTTTCTTTAAAGCTTGACTTATGAGAGCACATAAGTGTACCAAGTTAGAGTCCAAAGATTTGAATACCCGATTTGTTTCTTGCTCTGAGAAGTTTAACCAGTTATTTCATTCCCTGTGTCTGCCTTCTCATAGGAGTAAGCCCATACCTCCCTCGTTGGGATTCTGGGAAAATAATGAGAAGTGAAATGCAAGAAAATAGTTGGTACATTGAATAGTGAGAAAGGATATCAGGAGAAAAAAAATGGTGCTTCTAGCACTTGATACAGTGGAAGTAGGAATTTATAAAGAAAAGTGCAAATTTGATAAATGTCAAATCAATAGCTAATTTAAGATTCAATGATGGGAAAGAGTTGACTCAGTTACTCTTGATTGATTGATGATTGATTTGAACTTTAGAGTCAGGGCCTCTCTCTGTTGTCCAGCGTATAGAGCACAGCGGTGCAATCATAGCTCATTGCATTCTTGACCTTCAGGGATCAAGTGGTCTTCCCATCTCAGCCTTCTGAGTAGCTGTGACTACAGGTGCACCTTAACACACCCAGCTGATTTTTTGTGTTCTTTGTAGAAATAGGTCTTGCTATGTTGCCCAGGCTGTTCTCAAACTCCTAGCCTCAAGTGATTCTCCTGCCGGGGCCTCCCAAAGTGCTGGAATTTACAGATGTGAGCCGCTGCTCCCAGCACATTTCCTCTCTGTCAGGAATGGTGTCCATCAACTCTCCGTGCAAGCATGTTTGCAGTTCCAAACAGACCTCCTGGTAAACATGCTGCCATTGTCAGGAAGGTCATGGACAACCTGTATCATTTACTGGCAGAAAGAAAATAGAGTCTCCTTCTCAATAAAAAAAATTTTTTAGCAGAATATACCAAGCCACTCTAAATTGATTATCATACACTAACCCTGGAGCTACGGGTTTCAGGGACACGCCTGGCTGGAGAATGGGAGCTAGTCATTTAAGCTGCATGATTAACATAGCCTAACATGGGGACATTTCACACTGAAATGGCTCACTTTGTGTAAGTAACGTTTCAGCATATGGTGCTAAACAAAACAGACACAAATCTCATCGGTTACATTAAAATATTCCTAATAAAGGAAGAAAAAAAAACATTTGGGGAGAGCTGCATCTCACGGTCTCAATCATGTCCTTAAAAGATGGTGTCTGAGCTCTTTATCAGTAAATCCTGCTGTTGGATAAAATCTATTATTCACGTTAGTGTAACTGATTGGTTATAAGGAGGGTGAAGGATTTATCCAACCTTGTTAGTGTTATATGATAACTATATATTGCTATGTTGCCAAATATAGTCATCATCAACTTTTAATTACTATAAGTTGTACATAGGCAAGTTAAGACTTGCTCAAAGCAATGGTGATCAAAATTTTATTTTTCATAGTGAATCAGTGAGAGTGACAACCATATATAGTATTTTCCAATATTCCTTGACAATTTGGCATTCAATATTTATGTACCTGAAAGTATTTACTTGAAGTTTAAGGCAATATTTGAGACATAATAGAAAACGTGCTAGAGTTAGTATATTAGCTCCCTGTAAGGATTTCCACCGTAGGATGCAAAAGAGCTACAAGGAAATGGCCACTGTGTGTCAGAGCGAGAAAAATGGGAATATTTTCGTGCTCATGAGAGATGGGGAAAGTGGCTGAGGAAGATGGTTTTTATTCTTAATTGATGAGATCCCTAACTTGAAGGTAGAATATATATTTAACTTTTGTTTTCAAAGTCATGCAACCAGAGAACAGTGAAGTTATGGCAGTACTTAAGATGGTTAAAACATTTTATTTCAAGCTTCATTACCTTCCACTTTTAGGTATTTCTCCAACATTCACTGAAGTGGTAATGCTCATTTTATTAAAAGTCAAATGAACATTCCAAAGTGATATTTAGTATGTTAATAATTCATAGAACTTCAAAGCTCATATGGAGAACTAATTTCACAAGTAAATTTAGACTACGGGGCTAACATACATTTTCTCCTGTTTCTGTCTCTAGAATTTAATATTATTTCCCCACTATATCCAGTCCCAAAGTGGAACCTTTTATGGGTAGCTTATCAGGGACAAGTTACCCCAATTTGAGAATTGCCATGTGAGTTTAACAAATAATAGAAGCATGCATGATTTCAAATAGAAATTAACATAACAGTTGCTATGTTAATTTCTATTTGAAATTATGCATCATTCCATTATTATCTAGTAAGATACTAGTAAGTATCTATTATCTAGTACACACTGGTTTTGACAGTTAAAAACACATGTAGAAATCCCCTTTGAATGAATTTTATTCAGCTGAATATAACATGAACAAGGTACGATATAAAAAAAGCACTCATATATGTTTAAGTAACAAATATATTTTATATTTCCAGAAAGAAAACATAGTAAATTCATAATGGACTACCTCATAGCCTCTGGAGCTATTCTGTATTCCAAAGTGTGGCGTGCCAGGGTCTGGGCAGGTGTTATGAGCAGGATCTGAAATTTGTGATTTAAAAAGAAAACAGGGCACCAGATAGAGTTATTGTGGGAACTCTAACAGCTTTTACTGAAAGGCCTCATGAAATAGAGAAAATTTTGTTTTGAGAAATGTGCAAGATGTTTTTCAGGAAAGTTAAAAATTAAATTGCTACTTTTATCTTCTCTTCAAGACATCTTCTTTAGATGTTAACTTTTAGACTTTAAGTAGTTCAGTATGTTCTTTTTATATAAGAATAAGTACATTTTTTCCATTCTCTGGCTTTTTTTTCCTATGGAAATATATTTTTGTGGTCAATGACATACTATCTTCAATAGTGATCGATCACTATCTTTTTGTTTATTAGGATTCAATTAATGGCCATCTCATTTGGTTACCCATTACATTATTCTGAAAATCTTTAATTAATTTTCCTCAACATTTCAAAATGATAAATATATTTAATGCTTCAAAATCGAAGCATATGGAAAATCAAGAGTGACATTTTTCAAAAAAGGTAGAACTTGGGTAACCCAGTGGCACTTCAGCTCTCTTACTTGCTGCTCTACAGTTGCCAGTAGAAAAACAAAATAGATAACTTCTTAAAACTTGTTATCTAGAGCAACTAACCTACTAGGGGGAAGAAAAATATTTTTAGTGTAGAGATAGCTACTATATGGCAATAGTTTAAATCAAATGACAGCAAATATTCCTATAATTAGAAAAAAATGCTTCAGTGACAATATTTCTTTAATACTATCCTTATTTTACACCATTCAATTTCTTAGAAAATAATCAAGACTAATTATTACTTTTTTACTAAAAACTTGTAGAACACCCATTATTCTGCTTAGTCAATCTCAATGAACAAAATTAACACAGTGATAAAACTTGACTCTGCAGCAATAAAACAACAGCAAGACTGTCTCTCTGGTGAGGGCTGCTTTAGAGAATGTTCCTAACTGCACCTTTCCCCTAAACAATGCAATTGGCAGTGAAGGTAGACAGCAGAGACAGCCACTGAGGTCAGAGAACAAAGTCTAGTAGCTACTTTAGCAGACTTCTGACTTAAACTCCAAACATAGCTTGAATGACTTAAAAGAGGAGGCACATCAGTTTAGCTGATTAGTATGCAACCCTATTCAGTGCCAAGAATATTACCTTTACAGAAAATTATCTACGAGAACACTATCTATGTAATCACCAATGACCCAATTTCAGAATGAAATGTCCTCATCCCCCAAATACCCCCAAACATCACCAGGGCAGTATTATAATTATTACCAATGCACGCGGGTTGTATGCCGCTCCACATGCCGTCAGCTTGGCAGATTCTTCTTGAAGATCCCACGAGTATAAATGGAGATTTGCACTGGAAGAAGACTTCGGACTTATAGGTGAAACTTTTCCCACTAAGTCGCCCTTCGGCGGGGATGCCAGGGTCTCCGCAGAACACAGCTATGGAAGATAATCAGGAAGAAGTCAGCCTTCAATGTCCCTGGATCAGCTTAACCAATTGAGCTTGGTAACTAGTTTCTGTGAAATCTTTAGCTTTAACTATTAAACAAGAAAAAGACTAAAAGGAGGCCAGGCACGGTGGCTCACACCTGTTATCCCAACACTTTGGGAGGTGGAGGCAGGCTTGAGCTCAGGAGTTCAAGACCAGCCTGGGCAATATGGCGAAACCTCATGTCTACAAAAAGTACAAAAATTAGCTGGGTGTGGCGGCATACACCTGTAGTCCCAGCTACTTGGGAGGCTGAGGTGAAAGGATGGCTTGAGCCCGAGAGATCGAGGCTGCAGTGAGCTATGACTGAACCACTGCGCTCCATCCTGGGCAATAGAGTGAGGCCCTGTCTCAAAAAAGAGACTCTGCCCTTAGGCAGCACAGTCTCAAGTTTGAGTTTTTGTGTATTTTAGGGCTATTACTACCCACCAGGAAGGTCCTCAGATTGTAACCTTAGGATGTGCCCTGATTATCCGACCCTGTTACAGACCTATAGTGGGTGGAACAAATTCTGCTGTAGAACTTACGCAGGCACTGGGGCACCTCTCCTTTCCATACCCCGCGACCTTCACAGGAGAGGATGGCAGAGTGAGAGAGCTGGTAACCGTCCACGCAGCTGTAACTTATGCTGGAGCCCCAGTGGAAATCAGTCCCCTCCACTGTTCCATTCTGCACGGGTGGCGGCTGAGGACACAGCACGGCTGTTTTCCAAAGAACAAACAAGATCAACATTCCGGAGCTCCCGCTGCAGCTGTGATGTTCAAACAATTCACATTTTAATTTTACCTGAATTACAAATGACATCTACGTAGGTTTCTTTAAAAACAAATAATAAAAGAATTGCCAAGGAAGACAGGACATCCAAATAATAAACCTTTTTTTTTAAGAATATTTCTTCATTAATATAGATCAAGTATATAAAAGCAAAGTCAAGTCAAAACATATAACACTGTAAAAGAAAACAGGATTGAACATGATATTCTCAATATATACAAGGCCAAGAAAGGAAGAAATGTTCTTGTTTAATTTGTGTCTTTTTATGATGGTTCCCAAGGACAACTCGAATGAGGATTTGGTCAGATGACACAAAATTTATAGGCACAGATGGTAAGAATTTTTCCGGCCATCTGTATTTTTTATTTAAAGATGGCATATAGTTTCCAAAAGACACAGTCGGTCCATCTATTTACTGAATATACTTTTTTAGAAATGCCTGCACAGTTAAAGAAGATTCTGTAAAATACCATTCAGAAGTGTTTCATCACGGCCTTGGAGCCTGATGTCTACTTTACGGGGCTGAGAAGCAAGAACAGGGTTTCTAGGGAGGATTTCCCCAAGGGCGATGTCCCCACAGATCCACCTTCCCCACTCCAGAAATTATACTAAAATGCACCCCAGGGGGCAAAAATCCAAAAACCACTGTCTAAAATCCTTCTTCTCTGAAGATACAAAAGCTTCCCTAATTTTGGAAATGAATGGAAGTTTCCAAGTAACCCCGTAGGCAGCAGAAGGCATTACAAGAGAATAACCACCTGCATTTTGTGTGTTCAGGCTCATGCCTTCTCATGTGAGAGAGACATGCCAACACACGCAATTCACACTTGCACACCCAAAAGTTGGAAATGGGTCCTCCTCTCACCACTCCACCTTCTACTGATCTGTTCACTTGTTCAACAAATCCTTCCTGAGACCCCACAGCGAGGGCTGGGGAAAGGCGTGCTCTGGCCCAAGGGAATGTCCAGGGGGAGGCCCCAGTTGGGGGAGACCTGAGCTACATGGGGGAATGGGAGTACACAAGTTCCAGGAGGGACACAGAGAGAAAGAGGTTCCATCTGGTAGGGCCTTACTGGCCATGGTATTGTTACAAACACAACGGGTACCAGAAAGAGGATAAACATCTACAAAACCATGCATGAAGTGTTATTGTATTGGCAATTTCCATCATTACCATTTGACCTGAACACTGCCAATACCACTTAGTGCATTTCATTAAACATTTAGGGTCTGCCGTAAAACAGGTGTAGTATTAAGAGTTACAATACAAAGAAGGGAAGGCAATGAGATCCTTGGACTCCACTGGGAGAGGAAAGCAGGATGGTCCAAGAACACGCCCATGTCAGAAGAGAGAGAAAGCAATACTTTTGAGCAACCAGGTCACATTTAAGACTCTGTCACATTTAACCATCTGTCTTGCAGAGCCTGCAGAAGATGATACCTTCTCCGTTAAGGTACTGAGTGTCCTAGCTCTCCCTCTCTCAGTATTTTATTTGTTCCTAGTCTAATAAAGAGGAGAATGCCACCCTCTTATGTATGACCACTGACAACTTTCAAGCCCCTCTCTACCCCTCTTCTTCTTGTCCTTCCTCTTCACCAGCCGATAAGAAAGTCTGGATAGTTCTTCTTTGCTTCTGGTAAATAAACCATCACCATGCAAATCCCTGGCCCTTGCACAGCCCTCACTCAGCCCTACTCCCTGGTCACTGTAAGAGCCCAGCCCACTCGCTCACTCTGCTTTGCTGAAGCCACCTTGATGGGCTTGAGCCTGTCTTGATTCGCCCAGATGGTCCAGTCACGTAAGTCGTAAACCTCTTCCTGCCTTCTCGGTGAGTGTCATCTTCAGTCTCAGCAACCAAACCCCATGAAACATCACGGTGCTAACACTCTCTACCAGTACTTTGCCATTACCAGGTGATTGGTTTGTCTCTCCAACCTGCCTCTAAATTCCTACAATTAGATTCGCCATGCCACGAACACCTCACTCAGCCAGGGTCACAGGTTTACCCAGGACAGCAAAGCACTGGGGTTCACACACAGACTCTAGGGCGGCAGGACCATCACTGAACCCTGACATCTCCAGTTCCTGGTTTGTGATCCTAAGCCTTTTCCTCTACCTCTCTGTGAGTTAGTTTTTCTATCTGTAAAACTGAGATTAAAGTATTATAAAAATAAAGTGACTTAATAGTTGCAAATTGGTGTTTAAGAATTCCTAGCCCCTAGAAGGGCTACCTAAATGCTTGCAAAATTAAACAAAGCACAATTCAATAAAGACTTCTACACATATCTGTAAAATCCAAAGAGTCACAAAACAAACCTTTGCAGACGGGTTTGCTCTGATTCCATGTGCCGTCTTTGGTACAGCGAATAGTGGCGGATGTGACTGGTTCCATGAGATAGCCAGGGTTACACTGATAGCTCACAGTCTGGTTGAAGGTGAAGTCGGTCCCGAACTGGATGCCATTTGCTAGTGTGCCTGGATCCCCACAACTTATAACTAATAAACAGATAGCAGGAAAGAATCAGAGAAATTCATTTATCATGAAAGGAATTAGACACCCTTTCTATTCAAGATACTCTCTTTGAACTGCTACTCAAAGTGGTTAAGCAGTGAATTAATAAAGCAATACTACCCTCTGTTTGATTATTTCACTGACCCGCTGTCCATAGGAACACTTGTATTTTGAGAATCACTGATTTCTATTCTGTTGGCAGCTGGCTGTCAGATGCTGCCTTCCACCCCTTGACTAGTCCCTAATTAGGCATGGTGTATAATCAGAAAGATGAAGCCTGCAGTCAGAGAACCAAAGACATTTCTTCTTTTTCTGCAGACCCAATGGTCTGCAGATGAGAAAGTCTTGACTTTTTTTGGTCTCAATTTTACAATGTTCCACCCAACTGGCCTTTTAAAGGAGCTTCAGCCATACAAATAAGAAAGTGGAAAAAATCTTAAAGTACTAAGAAATAGAGTCACAGTGTCACACATAGTTTTCCTTTTTTTCCTCAATGAATTAAAAATAAAAAACAGTATAACACCTTAAAGCCAGTTTTGTTTTTCCCCCACAATGGAGTGAATTTCATAGTAATGAGTCTACCACGATGTCTGGTTACTCACTTGTGCAGTCGGGAGCAGTGCCTGTCCAGGTCCCATTGGCTGTGCAATGCCGTGTCATGAGCCCTGAAGTCTTGTAGCCTTCCCAGCAGGCATAGATGACCGAGCTGGAGAACAAAATGCCATCACTACTGACGATCATTCCATTGGTGGGCGTGCCAGGGTTGCCACAGGACACAGCTGTTAGGCAAACAAGAACAACACCACACACAGCGAGTGACCCAGGATGAAAATGGCAAACAGGAGACCAATGGGTATCCATGCAATAGACTACACATTTATTACAAACCCACAGCACATAATCCTATGGAAGTTCCTTAACATATGTCTTACTATGACTCACATGTTTATTTTATTGATTAGCTACAAATATAAAAATGACCTTTCAATTCATCTTTTCTAAAGTGAATTACTTCTAAACAAATTAAAACATGAGTTAAAGCACCAAAAGTTCAAGGCCTTGTTATTCAGGGATTGAATGCTTTTAATAGCCTTGCTATTTGAGGATTGAATGTTTTTAATGTCATGACAGAATTGGTCTGATTTTTAAAAAAGAATATCTACGATATTAGCAACACAGAAGCATCTTCCTTTATGTAATCACTGTGTTTTTAAAATCTAGGCAATTCAGGTCCTATTTTACATCTCCAGGAGAATTCACTTTGGAAAATAAAGAATGCCTCGGAAATATGAACGGCTGCACTTGAACTGCTTTGTAAAATGATGTCCTCAATATTACCAGATCTAATAGCAGCTGCGCTAATTGGCTTTGACATGATTCAACTTTACATTTCTCTCAAAAGGCTCCTAATGCCACGTACAGGCAATAAGACCTCAATTAACGATGGTCAGAGCAACAGGTCTACACTCTATTTTTTATGCTCCTTTGGTCAGTAAACAAAAGCAAGCTCGGCTGCTGCTGGGTATCCTTCAGGGTGAACATTTCAATCTATAATTTTTTTTTGCCTTTTTTAGTGGAGCCTATTTATCAGAAAGGTTGCTACATTTTCTCCTTAGCACTGTTGCAATAATATACAATAGGCAGGTAAATAAAGGATGTGACCCTTGGCTGGTTTTAATAACAAGAATATATATCATGAGACTGCCTCTGAGCTGATCAAAATATTTAAAAATACTTTGGCACATTTAATTGATCCAATTTCAAATCTGGCCTGGAGAACAAAGATGTATTTTTCTTAAAAAACATGGAAGAAAACATCCTGCAAAATTTGCTCGGCACAGAGAAGTCACTGTACTGGGAGTCGAGGGACTACCCTTCTTATTACATAGAAAGAATGCACTTGTGCTCAGGTTGAACTGGATTTTGTTTGAAAAAATAATACAAAGTGCACATGCTGGTGCTTCCTGGTCCTGTGCCAATGGCAGATGGAAGTATTCAATCATGGCCCTCTTCTCTGATGGCTCATGGTGTGACTTTCAACCCTTTCTAACACAGATCTATTAGTAGTTTCCTGGTTAGCATGTGAATTGGGATATATTTACCAATCCAGAAGCAGATAATATTTAAGGCTCTCTAAAACTTGAAAGTTTTATGATAACTATATTATATATTAAAATTTCATATTGCAATAATTAAGGGTTGGACTATCCAACATATATATATTGTTCATTCAACAAACATATATTCATCACTTACTGTGCAACAGGTACTGTGTAGATGTGCTTACGGAAAGCCTGTCACAGAAAGGGATTGCGTTTGGTCCAATTCATAGTTCAACAAACCAAAAGAGGACACTGATGTTATTGTTACATTGTATTCTAATTATATTTGCTATTCAGTTGTATGTCCAAATCTTCAAAAGCCACCTATGTAGAACCAATACCCAAATGAATCAAATAACTGATGAAAAATATTCAATTCGGTTTGTAAGCAATCTAAAGTGTTAGTTAGTTTGCTAATATTGTCAGTGAATGAGTACCGTCATAATGCTGTCCTAATATTGGGAAAGTCCCCTCAAATATTGTACTGTGTAAAGTAAAATTCATGATGAGTTTTTTTCTTTCTGTTTTTCTGGCTGACAAAAACCACTTTCACTCATGGTTATAACTACGAAAATGTCTAGAAGGCAATGTCAACATATCTGCTTTTATATCAATGCAATTATGTAAAATTATAAGAGAGGATTAAGACTAAAACAAAACAATAGATTAAATTTCAAGGAGACAAAAGGAAAATAAATTAGAAGAGGAAAAAATAAACTGGAAGAAGAAAAATAAATTAACCTGTAAGTTTAAACTTTGCCATATTTTCTTTCCTGAGTTTATTTTCTTTTGAAATACACTTTATAAAAAGTACATTTTGTTAATGTGACTTCTTCAGCTAAAACATAATTTTCTTTAACTCAGTATATAATAACATTAAGCTTATTTTAAATATACTTTTTTTTTTTTTACAAATAGTACTGTTCATTTTACATGAGAAAAAATTGCTGTTAAATTGAGTTACATAGATGTGAATATTTGCTCATGCAAGTTAAATAAACCCGAGCAATCAATTTAAATTCCTTAGATGTAGTGCCTTTAACCATAAAATGAGTATTACAAAAATACTTATTCCCGGCTGTTACAAAATTACCCACGCTATATGTAAAATGCCTAGTGTGAGATCTGATGTATTAGTGGTCACAACGAGTTAGCTTGTAGCTTATGCTATTGTTATTTTCATCATCATCACTTTCTTCTTGAGTAAAATGTAGCTTTATCATAATTTCATCTGAAAGAGAATTAAGAGTTCCCTAATACAGCTTAAACTAAATATTTTAGTTATACAATGTAACTTCATGAGATAGATCAATTCGAAACGTTAAGTTTGAACCTATGATTAAAAGACTAGATGGCTAACAAAAGCAAATTTGATTTAATGCAAAGGAAATATATCTGCAATATAAATTCTTTGAGTTGAATAATTTTAAAAGATGTTTCATTTTGAATTACAATTTCCTCCTCCTTTTTACAATGTATTCTATTTATCTAACTTTTTGTATCTAACTTTTTGACAGGTTTAGAGGACATAATTTCATCAGGTTTGAAATAATCTTAACTAGGGGATTAGCCAAGTCATAGCTAGTCATAGAAGCTATGCTTCCTGGACATGCAACCACTGGTTACATCCTTTTTCATTGAGAGTAACTCACACTTCAGTGATTTGGACCTATGATAACAAACAAGGAACAAAATGAGAAGCTACAGATTCTCCAAAATGTATTTCAAATTTTTGCTAGTGTGTGTGTGTGCTCAGTCACTGATTTTATGATTTTTATACATAATTTGTTGCCTTATTGGTTGTAACATATATCGCAGTGGGCTTATTCAGCTTCCCATGATGTCTGTATCATATAATGCAGTTTTAGAAGCAGTGAGTTTTGTGGAGCATGGCATATTTGAGAAATATTTTCAGCATTGCAACATTTTATAACTTATTTGCGTATGCAGCTTTTAAGGGCTAAGTTTCCAAGTTTTTTCATAGAAGTATAAATTTCTAACTTTAGAAAGCAAAATACAATTTTAAAAATACTTTGCACTGCCTGAGTTAGATGGATTGGGAAGTGAAACACAATTAAGCTCTCATTCAAATAAATTGATTGATGTGTGCTTTGCTGGACTAGAACTCATACTGTGCCTTCATAGCCCCAAAGATGGGAGATTTCTAAGGAAAGACATTGCTCACCCTCAACTGTCATAATTTTGTTCGTCTTTTAAGATTTCAAAACTGAAATACTGGAAGTAAACATGATATTGAATGTACAGTCTCAGGTGAATGGTCGTCTTTGATAGAATATTTTATATTCCACTTTCTGGGAGTGTCAGAGTCTCTGCTCTTCACACACCAAGTTCAGCCTGCAAACCAGGGTTTCGGCTCAATGATTGCATTGAGTACTCTTGACAACAGAAGGACAGTTCTGGTTTTCATCAGCATCAGATTCTATCTATAAAGTCTGAATAATTATTCCAGCATTCACTTATTGACATCCAGCCCTCTTTGTAACTATTGAGGAAATATTTTAAATTTCAATTAAAATACTACCGATGATTGATCTTTCAGCCTCTCTTTTCTCAAACAGAAGAGAATTAAGACCCAGAACCAAGACGTTGTGATCACTACAAAGAATCAGGTCTAAAGACAAAATGTCACAACTCACAAACCGTGGTGCTTTTCAAAAGTCCTGAATGATAAACGCTACAGATACGTGAAGCTACTGTCAAATGTGATTTAATAGAAACGTTGAAATTTTACTATGGAAATTGTTTTAATTTATTGGCAACATTTTTGTAACACCACACTTTGTTATAATTACAGGATTAAACAAACTTCACAAAAATATCATAAGCCACTCTTACACACCTTTTAGTCAGATTCACCAACTGTTTACATGTTGCTCACTTTCTCTCTCTCTTTCTCTCTAAATATGTATTTTCTAAAGTATTTGAGTGTAAGTTACAGACATGATGACTCTTTAGAGTTAAATGTATCAGCATGTATTTCCTAAGAACAAAGGCATTCTCTTTACATAACCATAATACAATTATTAAAAGCGTGAAATGTAACTTTGATGCAATGTTGTCTCATACACGTCCATAATCTAATTTACTTCAAGCTCTTGAACATATTTTTAATAGTTGCCTTAAGGTCCTGTGTTAGTTCACCACCTAGATCATCTCAGGGTCAGATTCTACTGTTTCAGTAACGCCTCTCATAACTCTGTTTTGCTCAGTGTAGGACCCAATCCAAGACCACACATTGCATGTATCAAGTCTCTTACTTCTGAAAGAAGCGCTCAGAATGTGTCTTTTCTGAACTTGACATTTCTTCAAGAGCACAGGCAAGCTGATTTGTTGCATGCCCTTAGGGTTTTGGGGGTTTTTATTGCTGCTGCTTCAGGATTCGATTCAGGTTATGCATTTCAGTGGCAATACCAAAGACATGACAATGTCTCTTTTCAGTGCCTCATATCAGGAAGCATAGAAGATCTCCTTGTTAAAATATTGCTGATAATGGTTTATCCCATAGGATTGCACACCTAAAGTACTATATGACAGAGTAGAAAATACTCTGGTTTTTTCTCTGGTGAGAAAACTGCCCTCATGTGCAAATTTTAATACTGAAATCTCTACAAGATGAGAGGGAACTGAAAAAATCTGCATTTGATTAAAAAATGTACATCAATTTATAGTGTCATACTTTAGTCAATAACAAAAATATGATCCTGCAATTCATGACTACGGGTAACCATTTCTCACTACTAATCAGTGGTATTTGACCTAAGACAACTTTTGTAGGGCCTAGACTTAAGATTTACACTACTTTGATTGTGAAGAGGCAATTCAGAGTAAAAAATTATCTTGGATTATCATGTTTGTTTGCACATATGTGTATGCCTATATTATATACATATATACACATATATAGTCGAAAATAGTCTTTGAGAATAAATATATACACTATGCATGGGCAAATATATAAATGTAAATATATGCACAATTATTCATATATTCATATGTAGCATTATTTTATATATGAAATTAATGCTACATAGGTTTATAATATAGATAGATCATATACATATTTTATTTCTATTTATCTATATAGCATGTATAATACAATAAAGGCAGAAGTGGAGACAGGATAGTCAAGTACAAAAAATGAAGATTAAGGAAACTTGAGTTAATTTCTCATAATGATAGTGTGTATGTGAGCTTACTCAAGTTGGTCAAGTTATATGGAAAGTGTTTCATACATACAAAAATACATATGGAATTAATTTGTATAAACTTTTCAGACTCAAAATGTAATTGAGAAGTTTGCTTGTAAAGAATTCCTAACATTTACAGTCCTATCTGTCTGAATTCTAAATCGGGTTTTGAACACCGAATACATGGTTACCATCACCTCTCAGTTCACATTTGCTTGAGGCTACATTTCTGATACACAGTGCGGTGTCTATAATGTGTCTGTGGCAATTCTTACTGTCATTACTGGAGCATACCACCACTTCCTACGATGCCTCTCAAACATTAGAATCAAGTAGACCCACTCCAAAATAGTTCATAGAATATAACCCCAGATTCCTGTGAAATACAGTGCTCCACACATGGACCACCAATAGATTGGAAATGACGTGTGAATGAAGTCTGCTCCCAGCCTGCAGAAATTCCCATCAGTGATCTGCACTGGTCCTACTCGCTGCTCTGGAACCCCACCCACTCACCGCCAGGATCTAGAAAACGTTGACAACACCACATACAGATTATCACTGGGAGAAGATTAGAAGCTTTCGTGTTATGAACTTTCAAACAACAAGCATCTGTGTGATGGGACCTGTGGACACTTGGAATACTTTCACGCACCCAGTCATGATTTCTGATGATGCTTTCACAAATATTGGGGGGGAAAGATTTAACTGTATAAATAGTACAAATCCCTATAAGTTTTGTAGAATTTTGCCAGCCATTTTAGAATGAATTGTGTGGTTTTAACTTTCAAGGTAGACCTTAAGGCTTGTGGCTACTCACCCTCGCACACCGGCTGCAGTCCTGACCATGACCCATTGAGCAAACACGTGCGTTCAGGGGAGCCCCTCAGCTGGTGCCCCATTTCACAGGAGAAGCGGAGAAGACTCTTTGTCTTAAATTCATCCCCAAGCCGAGACCCATGTGCTGGGGTTCCCGGATCACCACAGAATCCAGGATTATTTCCTATTGAAAATAAACACATATGACAATGCATAATTGTGTTAGACTTGTTTTAAGCAGAGTTGTTACATATACAGATAATGAAAAGTTGTTGAAATTTGTGTTTGACATGAGTTATGGTTACACAACATTCTGGCAATCTTGTAAGAAATGATTTCTTTGTGACAGCCCTAAAAATGGAAGAATTTAGGATGTTGCTCCTGTGTTACTAAATTCACAATAGCCTATTCAAATGAATAAATGACATTTCCCCTGGAAGGAGGAAAATGCTGGGAATGGTAAATGTATCAAGTCTTCACTGAAAAGGTAGGTACAGAGAGCAAAAGGAAAACGGGGCTTTAGGTAAACTGGGAACGTAAAAAAAAAAAAGGCAAATGAGAGGTTTAATTCTTCAGAATTGTATCCAGAGAGTTGCTGGTTCGCTGAATTTTAATTGTTTAAGAAACATTCATGAAAAAAATAAAGATAATTTTTTTTCAAAGAGGACCCATGTGGTTAATGATGATAGAGGTGGGGAAAATTAAACATATAAAAAAGAATAAAGAGCAAACAGGGACACACGGAGGCAGGGCCGGCAGCTTCCTTGCAAATAAGATCCAGACACTCCCGAGAATCCTGGAGGAGAGCATTTAAAGTGATGGTGTCTAACGATTATGGCGAAGAGGAAGACAATATCTATAAGAGAGTTGTATTTGGCTAGAAATGGAATGATAATCATTTCAAAGAGATGCATAATTATAGGGCATTTGAAATAACTGTAAATCATCGTTATCTGAAATCATTGTTGGAAAGGTTATTTGACGCCTGTAATTCTGTCAGTTCACCTGTAGGCCCCTTACCTGTGCAGTGGGGCAGTGCCCCGCTCCAGTGACTGTCTTCCTGGCACACTCTCGTGTCATTGCCTATGAGACTCTGGCTCCCTCTGCATGAGTAGCGCACGGTGGCGCCGTATGTAAACAGCTCTCCAGTCAGGATGGCATTGGCAGGGACCCCTGGGTGTCCGCATGATATAGCTTAAGAAAAAAGAGAAAATAAAACAAATGAGTACATCCTTCCAGTTAAACCACTTTGTACTGGCAGATCTCCCATAGAGACACCCGTATTGACAACATCTATTAAAGAAAAACACCTAAATATTCTGGTATAGCCCTACAGTTCCCTTATGTAATTTGTGATGAATACCAATTTTCAGATGACGCTTCCTCCCCTAATTTATTTACCGAAAAGGAGAGGTTCTGTTGATGTTTTTGTTTTGTTTTGTTAAGGTAGCTTTGCTTATGGTGGAAATTGACATGTGGATTTTCAAGGAGATAGCCATACTGCCTACATTTTTCCATCGACCCTTAACTATATTCCAAATGAACAGTATTATGGGAAATTTGAGAAAGTAACATGGATCCATTAAAACTATTTCCACAATTTTTTCAGTTAATATGACAATCATATGCTTTGCTTGGGGACATAATTTTGTCAAATCTGCTTAATCTTCAAGTTCACAAGTCTAAGAAAACCATTCTAACCATTTCTCCTTGAATAAGGGGCAGTCTAAGACGGATAAGTAAAATAATACTACTAAATTATTGATTAATGTATTCCTCAAATTGTTCCGTAAAATCCTCTCAGTATTTCTATTCATTTCCTTACAATTATACCAAATCAGGCCCAAACTCTATTTATAAATATCCTTCAAAAAGGCAAATTCTGTAATCCAGATTAATATAGGACAGTGAAGATTTATTTTTCCTTTACTGTACAGTATCAAATGAGGGCTAGCAATAGACAAGTTTTTATCTATATGCAAACAGAACTAACTGAATTGAGACTACCAAGGAATCACTCAAAGGTGACCACTTCCGTATCCTAGAGGAATTCCATTTGGTAACGAGACACCCAGAAGGGTTATCAACCAGAGGGGGAGATTTGAATGCCTGGAAGCCACCGCCATCCCCCGAGTCACATCAGCCCTCACTTTCTGTCTTGCATGGACATTGATTCACTGGAGAACTAGATTTTATCCACATAGAGTCCTTAAAAGAAGCCAGTTAGACCTGAAACAGTGAAATGCTGGATCAATGACCATTTCCAGTTGAAATGAAATTTATATTTTATGTAAATGTTAACCTTCAGTGAAACAATATCACAGCAAAATCAGACACAGAGCTCAGCTGCTCTAGAGCACGGAAAAGCAAAGGCTCCCCCAAGATCTTTCGATTCCCAAAGTCACAGCAATTCCAATTGTGAATGACACCAAGCCGAGGGAACTGGCCAGCTAGCAGAAGGAGAGCCAGCTAAACCCCAGCTCCTGAAGATCTGAAGCACATCAGCATCGGTACAAAAACAAATGGAAGTCTCACACAAGCCAGGGGAGACATGAAAGAAATGTTCTGGGAAAGACAAAAACAGAACTAAACCAACTTCTGTGAAAATTCCCATGTGTGAAAGCAAAAGGAAGATGAGAACGCAGACATAATTTGATGAAGATCGTAACACATTTATAGATGCAATTGTGTTACATAAGGCTGAGAATTGTTTTGAAAGTTATCACTGTCTTTCTCCACAGAAATTAATTATATTATTAAAGTCAGAATTTGAGACGAGTTTCTGTGTAGATTAGAGGAATGTGAGGGAAACTCACTTGGAGAAAAAAAAAATCTTCAACACTAACCCATTCTCAAAATACACTTCACAATGCTATAACTGAAAAGACAAGAGGCATTATTACCTTTAGTGTGTGTGTGGTAGACCTGACTGATAATGTAATTGCCATTTCCTTCCTCGTTTGTATTTTTTTTTTTTTTTTAAGAGATGGGGTCTTGCTTGTTAGCCAGGCCGGAGTGCAGTGATGCAATCATAACTCCTGGCCTTGAGTGATCTTCCTACCTCAGCCTCCCAATGTGCTGGGACTGTAGGCATGTGTCACCATGCCCCAGTAGTTTTTAATTTTTTTACTTTTTGTAGAGATGGAGTCTGGCTAGGTTGTCCAAGTTGATCTAGAACTTCTGGCCTCAAGAGATCCATCTTCCTTGGCCTCTCAAAGTGCTGGGATTACAGGAGTGAGTCACTGCACCTGGCCTCCACTTTCTTTATGGATGCAAAATGCATAGGACAAAGATCGGATTTTGATTTTAAGTATTGCTTTCCTTCTAATTTCAAAAAGACTAAAGAGAGTGACACTTTTTCCTAAATCTTCAAACTATGATCTTAAAACACGATTCTCTTTAACAGCCAATCTGATTTTTCAAGTGAAAAGAAAAGAAGACTTTGGCTATTTGGTTAAAATGATGTATTTTTGCTTATCTTCATGGTCTATAATACACTGATAACAAGCTTTTAAGAGAGGCCATAGGGATCATCTATAATTTTCTCTGCCCAGAAGAGCACATCCATTTTCTGGAGCCATATCCCTTCCCCTGATTTAAGGACTCAATTCACAAGCCAATTACTATCAGGATATGAGCTTTTTTTAAAAAAAAAAAAAAAAAGAAAGAAAAGAAAAACAAGATTTAACAACTTTATTCATTTATTTATTTTTTATTTTAAGTTCTGGGATGCGTGTGCAGGATGTGCAGGTTTGTTATGTAGGGAAACGTGTGCGATGGTGGTTGGCTGTACCTATCAATCCATCACCTAAGTATTAAGCCCCACATGCATTAGCTATTTATCCTGATGCTCTCCCTCCATCGCCCCCTACAGGCCCCAGTGAGTGTTGTTCCCCTTCGGTGTCAATGTGTTCTCATTGTTCAGCTCCTACTTGTAAGTGAGAATTTGTGGTGTTTGGTTTTCTGTTCCTGCATTAGTTTGCAGAGGTTAAGCTTCCCAGCTCCATCCATGTCCCTGCAAAGGACATAATCTCATTTTTTTTTTATGGCTGCATCATATTCCATGGTGTGCATGTACCACATTTTCTTTATTCAGTATTTTACTGATGGGCACTTGGGTTGATTCCATGTCTTGTTATCGTGAATAGTGCTGCAGTGAACATACGCATGCATGTATCATGGGATCTAATTAAACTCAGGAGCTTCTGCACAGAAAATAAAAACTATAATCAGAGTGAACAGAGAACCTACAGAATTATCATCAGAGTGAACAGACAACCAACAGAATGGGTGACAACTGTGCAATCCATCCATCTGACAAAGGTCTAATGTCCAGAATCTACAAGGAACTTAAACAAATTTACAAGAAAAAAACAACCCCACTAGAAAGTGGGTAAAGGACATGAACAGACACTTCTCAAAAGAAGACATTTATGTGGCCAATAAACAACATGAAAAAAAGCTCAACATCACTGATCATTAGAGAAATACAAATCAAAACTACAATGAGATACCATCTCATGGCAGTTAGAAGGGCTATCATTAAGTCAAGAAACAACAGATGCTGGTGAGGCTGTGGAGAAATAGGAATGCTTTTACACTGTTGGTGGGAATGTAAATTAGTTGAACCATTTAGGAAGACAGTGTAGCGATTCCTCAAAGACCTAGAATAAGAAATACCATTTGACCCAGCAATCCCACTACTTGGTATATACCCCAAGGATATGAGGTTTTTACTGCAGTCACCTTGGACTGTACCAGGAATGCTCACAAAACCCAATCAGGTCTCACAGCACTCCCCTCTTTGGCTATAGATGCCAGGTCAACAGACAGAAACTCCACACCAGAGCCCTTCGCCCACCTGAGCTGAGCGAGAGTAAGGTTGGGAGATGCCTGGTGGGGAGGTCCTGGCCACCGTGTCTGAGCTGTGTGGGCCAGGCCTACCTGGTAGGCTGAGGCTGAAGGCAAGCCGTGAGAGAAGGAGATAAAGGCATCATTGTCCAAATGGTATCCAATTACCTGCGTCATTTCTCCTGAGCATACCAGCGTCCCCCGGCCCCTTGAATTTGCTTAAGTTGTATTTGGTGATTTCTGGCCAGTCTATCTACAGCTATCATACAAACTCCTACAATTGGTGATGGGAGAGAGCAGAGGGAATTAAAATTCAGTGATGGGAGACAGCAGAGGGAATTAAAATTCAGTGATGGGAGAGAGCAGAGGGAATTAAAATTCAGTGCCTTTAAAATATACTTGCAGAATTTTCTGCTGATGGTACCCTTATAGGGGTCTGTGCACAGAAATCGGGAATAACCCTGACTTACCCAAACACTTGGGCAGAGACCGGTCCCATAAGCCATTTGCCATACAGGTCAAGGCTGAAGATCCCAGCAAGTAAAATCCCTTCTTGCAATGGTACAGGACACTCATTCCATACTCAAAACTCTCAGGGAAGTTCTGTTGCCCGTGACGAATGGCATTTTCCACAAAGCCTGGATCGGAACAGTTCACCACTAGAAAATAAAACATTTCAGACACCATTTAGAAATAGCTAGAAATAACAGACAAAACAGATCAGAAATGAAGGCGAATTCCTCACCATTTTAGAAAATTCAGAAACTGACAACATGATGGCTGAGGCTCACGAAATTCCACTCTCAGGATGAATTCTACTAACCGCTTTGGGCCACTCTTCAAGAGGTGTCAACAACTGGTAGACCACGATAGCAATTTTTCACACGAGGCTAATTTCCCCTATTTCCTAATAACGTTTTTTCAATGTAAATTCTGAAAATTAGTTTCCTTGGTTAAGTTTTTACGTTCTAATAATGGTCAAATAGAACTGGCTGAGGTTCGTTTAAATATTTTTACTCAAGTGTGGTGGTTTAGAACAGTCTGTGGCACGGTAATTACTCACCCCCCAACACACATACACACCTACGTGCATTAGTGCTTTAATATGTGTGCCTAAAATAATTTGGCTCTATGTAGAACGCAACTAAAAATGAAAATTATTCCATCAACACCTAATAGAAATGCAAATCAAGCCAGCCTCTGATTTAGGCCTCTTCTCCCTTTAGAAACAGACCCGTGGGGAGGCAGTCTTCTGTGGCGTGCGGGACACGCTCTGGTTCCTCTGAAAGGCGTTAGCCTGAATGCCTGTTGGCGTCTGCGAGGGAATTAGTGATGTGCTTTTGCAGGTGCAGAGGAAGAGAAAGAACTTTGATTACCTCATGCTTTGACCCACCCCACCAGTGAATGAGGCAGCTGTTCCAGAGGCCACAGTCTCTCCAGATATTTCTGGCTCAGAAAAGCACTGTGCAAATGAATCTCGGGCAGCCTCTGCACATCATGAGTCCCAGAAGCTGAAGGCAAACCCTGTACCCAAACTGTGTGTTTTATTTCTTCTCTATTCAAAAAAGGAAGGCAGAGGGCAGAATCAAGGCTTACAGTGTTCCCTTTTAGTGCCGTAGAATAATGTTCTCTGCTTCTTAAAACAACCCTGAGTTTACAGAAGAAAGTCTTGAGTTCTTTTGAATCAAAAAAGCAAAAACAAACAAAAAGCCATGTGTGAAGTTCGGGCAAGTATTTTTAAGATCCCACAGGGCACTGCATCTGCAATACAATTGTAACCAAATCTCTAAAATAGCAGGAATTACCTAATGTGAGAAAACCTAATTAACTTGAAAATGTGATTATTTGTATAACCTGGAAGATACCCACATTGTCCCATTCTTACATTGAGCATAAGAGATGGATTCAGCTCCCCCATGCCGCACTTTCATAAGGAGATGGACAGTCCCGGGCTGGAATACTAAAGATATTTTTGTGTTTATGTTTGTGCTTATGTTGCTCTTAGGAGACTGTCCAAAAAGAATTTCAAACTGTGTTTGTTGTCAAAGCAGAGAAAGCCACTTAGGAGAAATGAGTGGAAAAAAAGCCACTTTGACCATCTCCCACTAGGATGCCCGAGAGAAACCAAATGGCCCAGGATGCCAAAGGCCAGATTGAGCTGATGCCACCATTTCTCCTCCTCCTCCCCTCTTCTACTCCATGTCCTTTCTTTCTCCTCCTCTTCCTTCTTCTCCTCCTCCACCTCCTTGTCCTCTCCTTCTCCTTCTGTTCCTCCTCCTTCTCCTCCTCTTCTTCCATCCATCTCTTCCTTCTCTTTCTCCTCCTTCTTCTCTTTCTCCTCTTATCATTTTCATCTTCTCTTTGGCTCAGCCTCTCTTAAAAGTTCACTGGCAGAGATTTATTTATCGGTGCAGTAACAACAGGATCCAACCGCACCCTTCTCCTTGAAGGCAGAGAACCAAATATTCTCTGAATTTCACCATGGCTGGTGAAGGGGGATTTATAATATGTGAGTTTCATAACCTTGTTCTGAAACTATGGACTAAAATTCTCTTTAAGGGTCATTCTTGCCGTGGAAAGAGGTGCATAGGAGACAATAAACCCCTCATTCTTGGAAATCATTCTGCAAACTTACATTGCATTAGAACTGCTTGGAGGGTATGTGTTAAAATGCTAAGCCCTAAGTTCCTACTCCTTCCTTTACCTAGTTCACTATCCTTAAAATATTGAGCAGCAAAAGATGTTTGACAGCAATAAATATTCCTTGAGCTCCTGTGGGGAAACTGGGTGGATCCTTAAAATGGAAGAAGCATGGATACAAATACTCTAAATCTGCTCACGCACTTCTTCAGTCCTGCATAGAGTCGCAGTCCGAAGTATTTCTTTATATTCCTTCCTATTTCATTCTGAGGCTCCATTAGAAGATTCAACTGCATCTATGTGCTGGAGGAAAAACAGGGCAGGAATAATCTGATTTATTTATCCATGATGGAACTTCCATACCGTTGCTGCAAATGGGTGTGTTTTACCATACAGAGTAGAATGTATCTGCCAAAAGAGTTTGTTAGTGACCAACCAATCCACACAAGCACCTTTCCCATCTGTATTTGTATTCCCAGTTTCTATGTGAACAATTCCTATCCAGGGATCTGGTGGAAAGAGGCTTATGTGACTGACAGGTGACCTGTTGGTTTGTAAACTAGAAGGAGAAATTGCCAGTGAGGTTCATGGTGTGGAGATATGTCAGGCCCACCAGCAGCCACTCCAGACCTGGTTCATGACACGCTGTTAAGTATAAGGTAATGTGCCAGAAAGAAATAAAGAGGCTTACTCTAGAGAGCTGCACCTCATCGTAACATCTTACCACCCAATACACTAAGACTTGATTTCCAGGTGTGAAAACCTGACGTGGAACCTGATTTTGTCAGCTGGGAGGAATGAGAACACTGATGTCTCGTATACATTCAGCCCAGTGTGGAGAAGTTCAAATGAACACACAGGCTGTGTTCTGAGGTGACAGCTGGGTATGTGGAAGGGTAAAAGAAGAAATTAATACAGGGATCAATAACAGGTCCAAAGTCACAACGACCATTGAACTAGCAATACACAAGGATCAGGACTCCTGAACACATGTCTGGTACAGCATAACAATAAAAGGCATCAGCATTCCTTGGTGACAGGAATCCCAGGAGCACCCCATCCGTTTTTCCTGGAGAGGACCAGCTGGAAGTCGTAGCCCTCGATAGGATTCTAGAGGTGACTCATTAAGCCATTTTCTCTACTCTATATACACTCCTTATTCAGACATGTCTTCTTAAAGATGCTCAAGTTGACATACAAATATGGATAAGAGGCCAGGTGTGGTGGCTCACATCTGTAATCCCAGCACTTTGGGAAGCCGAGGCGGGCAGATCATTTGAAGTCAGGAGTTCGAGACCAGCCTGGCCAACATGGTGAAACCTAGTCTCTATTAAAAATACAAAAATTAGCCAGGCGTGCTGGTGGGGGCCTGTAATTCCAGCTACTCAGGACGCTGAGGCAAGAGACTCGCTTGAACCAAGGAGGCGGAGGCTGCAGTGAGCCGAGACCGTGCCACTGCACTCCAGCCTAGGTGACACAGCGAGACTCCGTCTCAAAAGACAAACAAATAAACAAAAAAACAAATATGGATAAACGTAAGGTCCTATTGTTTATTCTCTTTCAAACTTTCTTGAGGACCATGGAGGTCCTTCTGATCCAGTAACGTTCCCATTCTCAGTTAAGTAAATGTACTGATCGCCTGATGAAGGAAGCATGGAAATGCTGTGTTTTGAGATTTGAGGGCGAATTATTCGAGCAGTTTTTCCAGCTCGGGGACGGATCACTGTTCCCGTGGCACGCCTCACATCGTAGTAGGTCTCAGGAGAGCACCCGCACTCTGACCGCGGCTTCACCTCCAGGAGCTGCCCTGTCCTGCCAAGTGTTCATTAACCAGCTGTTTCCCTCTTGATTCTCTTCCTGGGGACAGGACACAATGTTTGCTTCACATCCTTGCCTCCTTCCAGAATCCAAAGCAATGGCCGTGTTTTCCTGAAAATCTCCCTAATGACAGAGAAACGTGATACATTCCCATCCCAGGCTCCTTCTCCAGCTGTTGACCAGTAGAAATGCAGCCAGCTGTCTGCACACTGGTCTCTTCTAGGCAGTTTGGCTCTAAGGTGAAGGGCTGTGACAGGGCATCGCACGAGAGTCTGGTATCCTCTCCATGGCACAGACGCTGGGCTCTGTGGGCAGCACAACTCCTGATGTAACTTTGCAGGATTCGTATCTATTTGATTCCAGCCTGTTACGTGATGAGGAAACACTGTGAACACTTCAACTGCTTTTCAATTAGATAATGTAATTCCAAGTTCCTTCTGTTGTTTCTAGAAAAATTGTTCATAATCGGTTCTTACATCAAACAGAATCTGTTTCTGTTGTATATTTTTAACTTCATTTATTTATCCACTAAAACGTCTCAGTTAATGATAATTAAAATGTAGATAAGGCTTTACTGAAGGGCTCTGAGATGATTAGAGAGAACCGTGGACTTTCACTTGTATATCCAAAATTTGGTTAAAAATTATAAATCTAATTGTAACCCAAAGTAAAGCACTTCCCAGTCTTTGGCATTAGCGCGGTTTCCTACAAGCATAATAGTTTTTGAAGAAAGTATAAGCAACTGTGATCGACCTCTCGCCTCACTGCTTGTTTTTGTGGAAGCTCTGCCTGGGGCCAAATTTGTTCTTCTGTGTGTTTATTTTGAAAGGCAAACCATGGAAATAAAGCTTAGTTTTTAAATTTCTATATAATTATTACACAAAAAGGAAAAGTAAAATAGAAACTGTCAGATTAAACTTTAAAAACTAAATGCTATGGGCTAAGCTTTTATGTGAAATTAAAAATAAACTAATATTAAGAAAAATTGGCAGAAATACACTGTTTTAGTATGAACTGGTAACTCCTGTTTCCAGAGCAAATAGAAAACTGTTAATTACAAAGAAAGAAAAATACCAACTTAGTGCAGTTCTGTTTTTACATGGCTGTGAGTGACATTCTGAGAATAAACGGCAACTTTCCAAATGTTTGGAGGTGCAGTGAGAGACCATCCGTTCATGTCGCCGCCTCAAATCGGATTCAC